TTATGTTTTGCAGAGTCAAGACGATTAGGAACAGACAGATCTGCTACGAAGAGACTTTTCAGTGGGCTCGGGACGTCTACAACAACAGGACCGAAGGCAGCGGCAGTTACTGAGATCACTTGTAATATTAACATAGTTATCTCACTTTCTGGTTTATAGTATCTCCGGTGTGAAACTTAGTCAATTATTTTCAATTCAATGTAAATGCTATTATGATCTTTGTTACTTTGTTGCTTGTTTATCACGGTATGTATAGTAAGTGTTTATCAGGGCATTTTGTATGTGTCAGACTGGTTTGTGATTGACTTCAGGTGTAGTAATAAAATTAGTCGAACATAAACTGGATCAATTTCTTCATTTATCGTCTAGAATATTGTTATAACATACAGACGCATTTTTGAGACTGTTATAAAAAAACGTAGTAAAAAAATTGTTGTTTATTAGTTGTTTACACATACCTGTCATAAAGGGATCATTTCATCCATAAATGTAAGGTGGAAACCAATTAAAAGGTGTGGTGGCAGAGCCTGCCCATATTTCATAGGTGGCAAACACAAAAAAATATTACTTAAGTCAAGCAATGAACTAATTAACAAATTAGGCTCCAGAACATCTGGAAGAATCAACAGAGCATGAATCTTCATGCATCCACAACAGGAAGCGACGAGTGGAGTGCAACAAAAAGCACCATATAGACACAATCAGTATGAAAACTGTGAAGGAAGTTGGTCATGGTGGTTTCTACAGACTGATGAAACAGTGAACAAAAACGTTATTATGGACAGTAGACATATGCATTAAGACATTAAAACATATTCAACAAAGGAACTATTTAGATTTAGATTCTAATTTATTAACAAAAGCATTACTGCCAAACTTTAAATTAAGACTTTTCTAAACGCAAACTGGGCAGGGCTTGAGAAGAAATGAGCGGTCTGCCAATTATTACTATTAATCTTTTGCACCTTTAGCCGACATCGGCACTTTTGTTTTGACCTATTTGAGTTTGCTACAGCAAAGAGATCAGTCAGCAGGTGCAAACAATAGTACAAAACAAATTATAAGAAGTATATGACAATAATTGGATAGAAAACACCATTTGGCAGGTGTGTTTATACTGTATACTTTCATTATTGTTGTTACTACTAAAAGACCTCCTGTATCCAAAAGGGATTATTAAGCTCCTTGTCTTTGTCTATTGGTGATGAACCCCAAAAACATATAGATTCTATAAATAAATAGATCTCCTTTTCTGCTGACACACCTCAGGCTGAGGTGTGTGGAAACCTCAAACTGAACATGACCCATGACAAAATTACCCTTTAGCTTAATCGATCTTAGTGGAATGTTCTCACATATTTCAGGTACTTTTTCTCTCTGCTGAGTCAGTCACCCTGCTGATTTTATCTGTGTCAGTTCTGAACATTTCTATCTTTATCTCATCGTTCATCAAAAGATCAAAAGAGCATCTGAGGAAGTGTTGTTTGGTGTGCAGTCTCTTCATCTCAGGGGCGTCAGTGGCTGGCGTGGTGTCTCTCAAATTTGAAATCAGGAAGTCAAAAGTCAGGACACTAATTTCTTCTAGTTTCTTTAGAATTGCTCTTGAGGGGACAAACAACATGACAATATAAATATCAGAGCACCATAAGCCCCAAAGAGATGTGATATGAGAGCATTTTCAGGCAATCAAGGAAAGTCTCTCAGTTTCACAGCCTGACTTCTGCTGCTCTCTGTTCACATCAGTCATCTTTGGCCCTGAGATGAGTCAATACTTGAGGCTTTTTTTGTATTTAATCAAGATTCAGATCCAAGATATTTTGGAATCATTCACTAAAATTATTATGGTTTACAACATATTAAAACTATAAAACAAGAAGCAAAGTATGATTCAGAGCAACTCATAGGAATAAAGGGAACTGAAGAGGCAAATCTATCTTCAAAAGCAGTGATTTAGCCATGAAACAAAGTGCTTTGTATTGATATTCTTTGATCGATGCTAAGATAGGGGAAGCCATTCTATTTTACTTGTTGGAGCTGGGAAACATCTAAAACATGCTGGGCAGTGGCTACTAAGAGACCAGAGATGGTGTGAATACAGCTATTTCACCACTCTCTGTGCAAAAGATTATTTTAGATAAGATTTCCCGCTGAAAAATGTGGAATTTTTACATCCACCTGGGCTGTTCTCAAATAGGATAATTTGGTAATGGAGGAAATTGTCCTGAGGGGGGCAGTAACACGAACTCCATGCGTCTGTTCTGCTGCACATTAGAAGACGAAGAAGAAGAAGGGCGAGAGGCTCGGGACAGACCATGGCTACAGCTGACAGTGGCGTCAAGCCCCTACAAAATGCCATGAAAATGGCGAAAGTAGCCATACAGCTGGACGGACAGAACAAACACGAGGTAGTGAGACAGAAAGTTGGGCAACAACGATGACCTGTCGTTTCATCCCGACAGGAAACGGAACGTGTGTCGGGATGTAAACAGACGGAGGGGGCGGAGGCTGTCAGTGGGAAGCTAGCTAAACTTAACCTGATATTTCTGTGAATACACCTGCTGGCAGCCAGGTCTACTAACGTTAGGAGTCACTTTTACTAATATTTATTGTATATTTGTATCTGTTGGTATTATCGACTGAGTCGGTTGAATTCAATATACCAGCCTTTTAATTATTGTCAACTTTTGATCAAACATCTGTTAAGATTGGGACAAAAAACTGATTATAATTTTAAACCACTGTTTAGTACCTTGTTATAGAAAATAACAAAAAAAAAACAACAATAAAAAACAGAAGCGCTAATTTAGTGAACTAATTTGATAAATTTAGAGATTGCCTGTGTATGAAAGTTGTTGTTGTTTTGTTTTTACAAGGTATTTAAATTCATCTTGGTGTCTTTCCTCTTTCAAAGAAGAAACATACCAAGGGTGACCAAGACAGATAACCCTTCTCTTTCTAGTAAATTGCCTTAAAAACGAAAGCTGAGTTTATTAATGCAATATACAACAACAGTTGAGCAGATTGCAGTGTATACTCTTCACCTTGACAGTCAAATGATGTGACCTGCCTGTTCTCTATCTGCAGGACGCCTACTGTGAATACCTGCGGACCATTGAGTATATATCACATGCACTTTTGGAGGAAGCTGGGCCTCAAAGTAAGATCTGATTAGCGACATATAAAGCATTGATGATAAAGATATCCAAGCTTGTAGTTTGTTTCCCTTTATCATTTAGCATATCTGGTCAGTAAATGTACTAAGAAGTACGTTATTCATTCACTACTCTTGGTGACGGCTCTTTTATTTGCTGACAGACCGTGCTTTATAAAAAAGCAGCGAAACACCCACCAAGAAAAGGATATAAATGGCATTGTTTCATTTACTGTTCCTTTTTCTGAGATCTACGAAAAGTTGCTTTTTGGTAGCTAACCTCATGTTCGTCATAGTTATCTGTCATTCAACCACAGACTTTGTTTACCTATTAAGTAAATAAAAAAGAATAGACATTCCAAATTCCTTAATTCTGTGGTCATCTCTTACTCAGTTAGTCACTTTTCCTGACTTACTTTCTGTCTGTCTGGCCTCAGAGGAGAGTGAGATGGTGGCAGTCGAAGTGGAGCGCATGTTGAGGCTGGCTGAGCAATGTCTGGAGCGAGCCAAGTCATTTATTGGAAAGAGCTCTGGCCCTCCTGACCTCCCCACCTCTGCTCCGTCTCCTGGTTCTCCTGACCCATCGGAGCCTCGCCCAGCAGCTCCAACAGCTAACACTGGTGGGTGCATTCCCCTCCAATCAGAGGGGTCTCTTTAAGAAAAAACCCTGGTAAATCCCAGCCAATTTCACGCCTGCTCCAGGAGACCAAAACCAAAATCGCTTAATGTTTTCTTAACATGATTGTGTTCTTTTGGGAAATAACCAGTTGTGGTATTTCCCTTTTTATTTGTGTGTCCCCTGCAGGTGATACTAGTAATGATGAACAGCACAAAGTGACCAGCCCGACTAAAAAGGGCCACCGGAGGGTGTTGTCGGACGGTTGTGGGGAGCTCTCCCCATTTTTGCCTCCTGAAGTCTTCCACAGACTGCAAACCGTGTCGTCACAGGACACATCTAAAAAGTAAGAGATATTTATCGCAGAACTCAAAACTTTTAGAGACTTGACACCAATCAGGTGATTGCGATAGAGATGAAAAATACATTGCAGCCTGAGTAAAAAAAAAAAAAAGACAGACCTAAAGAAGCACAGTCCTTTGATCTGGTCTGACTAAAATAAGACTCAGAATATTAGGCTACAATATTCAGCAACATATGCAGAGAAAAATACACACTGAGCATCACTTCACCACGTGTGCAGTCAGATATGGTGATGGCAACATCATTATAGGGGCTCATTTTTAATGCTGGACATGAGGTGAACAAAGGGAGTGCTTTGGGGAGAAGTATTCTTTAAATCCAAAGCTTACCATCACAAACATGGTGAATAGTTTGATTCAAATATCTCTCATTTCTCTTTTTTATATTTTTGTTGCTTGTGCAACAGGGAGCTAACACCGATCGAAGAAGCATCACGCTTGAACCAGAAGCTGAAAGCGAATTATGAAGCCCGACTGGCGAGACTCGCGCCTGGTCAGGCCTACCAGAAGACATCTTTAGTAAGTATGGAGTGTTTGACTAAGAGAGGAGGGCTGTCAGATCTCCTGGCTCAGTTTTTCCTCCTCTTGTCACATGTTTTGCTGACTAACTGACTAAATTATTAACAATACTGTGTCAACATATGACCGATTGATTGGTTATTGACATAGTGTGTTACGATAAAAGTAACAAGTTAGTTACAAACGCTGAATTCTTGCTGCACCTCAGAAATGAACTCCTTCTTGTTTACCAGTGCAATTCAGAAATACACTCCATGTTTGAATGGAAGAGAGGCTGTGGAGCATGTTTGAACCTTATAAAGCTGTCGCATTAGCCACTGCGTAGCCAACTTGTGCACCATAAACAAATAGATGTCAAATCCCATGACTGAGGCATGGATGTGTCCATCATTCCACTAAATCCTCCTTTTCAGGGGGCTGTGCTGCTGAAACAGCTGCAAAAGCGACTGCGTTTTTAGTTACTACCAAAGCTGTCGCATTCAGTATAAACAGACTTAATGATTATGGTTTGAAGTGTGAAAATACAAGATAATTTTCATCATTTGACTCCTGGGCAGATCAATAGTACATAATGAATAATAATAAGTCCGATGAATAAACCAAAACAATGGACATGTTTAACAAATGACAGGTTGTGCAGGATTATTAGTGCGGATGTTGCACGTGGTGGTAAGATCCTCTACGGCCTCCTATGGTCGACCCATTTAAGTTCTTTTTAATACATATCTGGTCTGGGATTACAGCTAGACCCGAGAAGGCTTTATAAAACAAAACAAAGTCATCAATCTTGGATATTTGATTGGAAAACCTAAGTTAAACATAGGATGGTAACCATATGCTTTGAATAACGTGACCTTCATTTGAACCATTTCAGTTTGCAAAACCTGAAACTGTACTCTGTAGTACAATTGATATTGATGATGTAGTCTAACATCACAACAAAATATGGTGTAAAATACAAAAAAAAAAATACAGACAAACAGAAAAATAGCACGTACTCTCACGTACTGGCCAACATGTTCCATGACCGAAGCCATGACCAGAGTGGCTCAATAGGAACATGTCTCTTCAGAAATCATTTCTGATAAGGACAAAGTTTGGTACAGGCAGGAGCACAAGGATGTTAGATTAATATCAAATGAAAGGGTTAGGCATTCTTTTGGTGTAGAAATCTGAACCTGCTGCTTGTCCAGTGTCTGCTGTAAAACTGTTGGCTCGTTCTTTTGTAAGTAAATCAGCAAATGCTTTACTTTGGCTCCATTACGCTGACAGGGCAAGAAAACGCTGTGATCTGGAGCAGTTGGTTAAATTCCCCTTTCTTTGTTAGAGCTTAATTTGTGTTTTTTTTGTATAGATAATCTATTCAAACTCAGAGCTGTTGGCTCTTGCCGAGTCGGATCATTAGTCTTTGTCACGCTGTGTTAAATAAGTTGTTTTTCTCCGAGCTTGCAATATTCTTTTCTTTTGTTGTCTGTTTTCTTAAAAGATCTCAAACCATCCACTGCTTTGACACACTCCACCGACCAGAGAGTGATGTAATGTGGCTTTAAAGGGGTATTGAACGCATTAATCAGTGATACTGACCTTTTAGCATCATTCAACCAACAAACTCACAAAGCAGGATAACTCTATTTGAGTCAGATTGAACTATAAACACATTTAAAAACACCTAAAGTTTACCTAATGTATTTATATATACATATATATATTATATACAGTATATATTTATATTGATCAACAGTGATGAAATAAATTATTCCTGAAATAAAAGCAATGAAAAATACTGCGTGACATCTGTTGTTTACAGATGATATGGACAAGGGTTTTTTTATGTGGGACGGCCTGGTGCATTGACCTTCAATAAGAAATAAGACGTGTCTGTGATTGCTCTCCTACAAACCACTTAGTTTTGATAACATTTGGGATCAGGTTTACCATGTAGGTTAGTGCTGTCACCCCATTGGAGGAGGGTCCAAAAACATGCTTATTAGGTTAAACACTGAATCAAATTGACCCCATGACTGATCACTCTCAAATGTTTTTCTTGTATGAACTGTCATGGGTGTACCTTGCATCTTTCCCGCATCCCTGTGATCCTGATTTAGATGAAGCACTTATTGGAAAGAAGGATGAATGGATGTTAAAGGGGAGAAACCTGGGCACTCCTGGCCCTGTGTACGCTCTCATCTTCTGGTGATGAATGTGTGCATCGGTGCCTAATTTAACTTCTCTTTAAACATTAAATTAAATCTGTGCATAGGACAGATCCTTTGATCAAAAAACATAATGTAGATACAGTAAAATAAACAATTTAAAGGTAATTTTAAAGAATATCGGCCTATCAGCTCATAGATAATGTCCAGAAACTTGAAAAACATGTTTATTTATGTGATGCTTATGTTATTTCAACTTTCTTTATATTGGAAGCAATTTCACAGATAACTGAGCAGTGAAATGTAACAGGCAGATCTTCCATTCTACAGTTTTTCCCAATTTTTTCCATCCCACCCTAACAAAGAACAGTTGCGAATGTGAAGGAGTATTTACATGTAAACAATACAGAATGCATACAGCATAAAACACACATAGGGTAGCATGATTAAATGTTTATTATCAGTATAAAATGAATGCGTTTCAAAACTGAAAAATACATAAATATGATTTAAGAGTAAAATAGATTTAAACAATTGAGATAATAAGTTATTAAAGGTTAAACAAAAGAAGAAATTAAAGGTAAAACAGCAGCGAATTCCTGTGTTTCCTTTGAAAAATCCTCCCACTTCCGGTCCGGTCTTTGTGAACCATGAGCGCTCAATCAAAGGGGGGGAGTGAACTTAGGAGTCTTTAACTTAAGACAAAGTCTGGTCAACGAAGCCGTGACACTTCTGTGTCTCCACGTCCTGCAAGTCTTTTGAAAAACTGGAAGAAAAAAATGGTCAGCGAGAGGCGCCATCTGCAAAGCTCGTCTTAATTATCTGGAAAGGACGCAAACGACACCTCACATTTCTCCTTTTCCTTCTGGGGATTTTTAAAATTATGTCCACTGTCATTCAGATAAGGAAAATGTTTCGGCACCAAGTGGAGCTTCGTTCTTACTGGAGAAAACTAAAGGCTTTTGTAAAGGTAAAGTGTTGTCGGCTAACTTTGTTAGCTAATTACCACCAGGTACGTTTCCTGCCTCTGTTGACAGCAATTTAAATTAACGTACTGGAAACGCTACCAAAATATCCAGTCTTACACTGTTTTATCCAATTTAGTGAGCTCACGTTATTTACACATTGTTTTATACTAATACCATACATGCATATACAGCTCGTTTAATCTGGAATGTTTTAATCTGGTATAAATGTATGTATTAATTTATTTGGGGAATACATTGACAACCAGAACTTCTTTCCATGTGACATCAATATTGATTCAATGTCTGGAGCTGTTGCACAACATTTTCTGCCTCTTTTCAGTCTAAACAACTTGAAGGTGCAGTACAAACGTGTTGTGTTATGTTGGCATTAAGGAAACATCCCAAACTCTTCTTTTTTTGTTTTTTTTAAATGATTATCCATTCTTTTCCCACTTCTTGTTTCTTTGTTGTCTCTGTTGCAGGGTTATTATTATTTATGTTTTGGTTTGGGAGACAACAGCAATTTTTGGCTAATTTTTAAAATAAAGTTTTTGCAGTAACTACGTTTTCTTTTTCTCAGAGGACATTTACAAGTCAGTGCGAAAGCGATGGAAGGCGTAGAGGATGAGTAATGGTTACCAGTTAATCGAGGGACACTTTCTAGTGTTTCTAGATTTATGCACCAAGATGGAGCGGCACACTACTGCTGTGCTGTCATGTTTTGAAGACTTTGTTAATTTGTGGTTTTAATCCTTTTCGCTGAACAAACTTTTCCTTGGGAATGTGTTTTGATTGACCAGTAAAAGGACTTGATAAACATGTCACATGAACCATGTCTGTCACTATGAAAATGTATCAAATGTTATATATTGTATGTTTCTGTTGTATTAGTTTGGTTCAATTAAAGATGGTTGGATTATTTTTGCAAAGTAAAATTTTTACTTGTTTATGTGCAACATGGAAGAAGTAAGGACTCCTTTTGGATTTCTTTTCGACTGGAACGAAGACAAAAGAAGACTTGTGCGTTTGCAGGAGGGTTAAATGTTTGTTTGTATATTTCGTCACAAGCTCTGTGTTTTTGTTTTGCCATTTTTGCTTTTTATGAATTTAATAAAAGGCTACATAACAAAATTCAGGGATTTCTTTTCTTGTCCTTTTTTTCTTATTGTCACGGACACTATAACTGATGTTGTGTTCTCCTTTGTATTTCTGTAAATGCACATATTTAGTAGTTCCTTCTCTTCTTTTTTTCTCTCCCTCCGATGCAGACCCTGTCCCTCCAGCGGCAGATGATGGAGAACCTCATCATAGCCAAAGCCAGGCAGGATGCTGTATCCTCTCATTTTGTTGAAACCTTTTTTATTTCCTTAACAGGTGAATGGTAAACAAATTAATTATCTTTTTTTTTTCAAGGGCATTATAACTTTGTTTCAGTATGAGTTGCAACAATATACAAGTATACAAACCAAAATTTTTAAATGAATAATTTTAATTCATGCATCTGTTTGCTATTTTAGTAAAACAAAAGTTTAACCTTAGCTCAGAAATTTGTGAAAATTTTAAACTTTCATGTGTAGATACTATAATAATCTTATAGGTCCAAATTGAAATATACAGACCATAATTTGAGTCTTATAATTGGCATCTATCCTGGTTTCCCCTAAAAGATTGAAAACATAGGATGCATTTTTTTTTACATTGTCTTTTTCCTGCTGTCCATGTCAAAAACAAAACAAAAAAACACTAAGTTAAAATGAGGAAATATTTTGTTCACATGCTTGAAAATAATCAAATGTTAACATTTGTCGTTAGTTTAAGGGAACTTGAAGGAAGCTTGACAATGTCTTGCTGTCATTTAGAAAAAGAAAAATTAATTTGCTCTGCAAATTAATATCTCTTGTTTTATTAAATGAAGGTTTTCATATCACTGGGATGTTTTTTTTTCTGAATACTTTGATTATGTTCATTCATTTAGTACAGGTAATTTCATACTTGAGTATAATTTCATTTGCTGATGTTCTGAATCCCTTAACGTTAAAACTAGCTCCAAAGGAAGATGGAGGAGAGAAGACTGAGGCTGCAGGAAGAAGCAAACAGGTACGATGTTGTTCTGAATCAAACATAATGAATAGGTGTGAGAGTTACCCTTAACAAATAGCTTTTTTCTTTTCTCAAAGCTTGAGAAGCGTCTGTCCCTTTGTCTCATTTGTTTGGGCAAAGTGCGTCTGGCTCTCCCGACCGAGGACTGTTGTTTATCTTTTGTGCGACCGGGACACAGCTGCTCTGTGGCTCTGATTGGCTGCAGGCCTGTCCCATCGCATCCAGAGCTGTTATCAGTCAGTGTTTTAAGGCTCCCTGCATCGAGTCAGTTTGCTTCACTGTCACCTGAATCTTTAATAGATATCATTATCCGTCCAGTGTCTGTACTCCAAAGTACATTTAAAGCACTTGCTACAGAGTCTGTTATCTGTTATCTGAAACTCTAAAGGTAAACATCAGAAGCTGTCTGGTCTGTTGTGGTCATGGGATTTACTCTCAAGTTTGTTGATTTAAAGGGGAAAAAGGTCTGATAACTTCTCAGCATTTAAATACTTATGACAGGAGTTCAGTTTAAAAAAAAAAAACATGTGTGAGTAAAAGTTGTCTTTTTACTTATCCCACAGTTTGACAAGGTTGCAGTATTCATGTGGAACTCAGGAATTAACTCGCCCATAAAGGCCTAGTGACAGCCATTTTTTTTTAAATACGCCTTCATCAGCAGAGGAAAGTGCAAAGATGCCGATTAATGCTATATCAACCTCTTTATTCAACTGTCATAACAGGAGGTTTGCAGCATCAGGGGCAATGACTTCAGAGGAACAGGAGCAGCGTCTTCTTTACACCAATGTGTTGGAATACGAGCAAGACCATGTAAGTCTGGAGTCCTGCGCTTCAAAGGCATTAAAGGCCACCAGTCATCAGAGTTAAGGGGGTTCATGTAGATAACCAGACTTCAGTCACACCTTGAATGATTTTGTGCAGACAGAAATCACTTCAGCTGTCACCACAGCAGATGGCATTTAAAGATTGTCATTTTCCCATATGACAGCAAACCTGAACCTAACACTTTTAAACAATAGTCATGTGCCACAAAAATTCTGAAGGTGGTCTCGTATTTGATAGCAGGCAGTTTAATCTAATTTTAATAATGGATGTGGGTTGTTCAATTTCAGATGTGGTTGTGACAGTGGTGGGCCGTCAGGGCCTTCAAGGCCTTCTCTGAAGGCCTAAGAAAATATCTGAATCACAGACTGATGTTAATTATATTTTGTCCATGAAAACTTAAATTAAATATCTCGAAATAGTCTGTCAGCTTCCTTTCATAGCTTTCCCCCTGGTTGCGCTGCTTCCAGACATGTATTTTCACATAAAAGCATTTAACCAATCACATTTCAGACATCCTTTGTCGCTAGGCAGGGTCAGAGTCAAAGATGTCTGCCAGGAGGCCTTCACAATCCGTTCTGCAGGCCCCCCCCCACAGAAAATACATGTCGAGTACATTGTTGCTTCAACCAATCAGATTTTAGGTTGGTGATGACAGGGCCTGCGCGAAGGCCCCGGAAATGCCACCGTACCCACACCCGCTGATTGGATAGTCAGATATCCAATCAGGGCAAAGCTAGCAAACAAACCGAAATATAGTTGTGTTAGTTAGTGTAATAGCTATTTTATTATTTCGTGGCGGATTTACTGTCAAGACCATTTTCAAAACGGACTTTTCAAGAAAATTAAGTGAGTAAAATGTTTTTTTCCTAAATAATATTGCGAGTTTATGAAGATATTATTGATGTATTTTTATTTTGTTTTTGTTTTTTTTTTGGGGGGGGGGGTGCAGCTGCAGCTGCAGGAGTACAAGACCTGATCTTTATACTGTATTTTAGGCTTGTCCTGATCCGATATTTGGATCGTATCGGCCGGCATGAGAAAATGCCAGATACATTTATTTTTAAAAGTCCGATCCCAACCGAGCATTAGCATTAGCATCTGTAACCCACAGGTCTGTGCAAACTTTAGTTGTTATAAGAGTAAATCCCTGTTCAACATAAGTCTGTCAACTAAGTAAGTAGGAAAAAAAAATTCAATTTTAATACAAAAAGCTGGATTGGGACATCCCTGTTGTATTTCTACATAATAAGATGATTTCTATAACCATAAAATAGTTATTGAGGGGTGAATTGATTCAGACGGAGCACTACTGAAGGCCTAGGTGTGAAATGCACGGTCCGCCACTGGGTTGTGATGCATGTGTGTTATCTGCCTTTTTAGGATTGGCCCAAACAGTGGAAAGCCAAAATAAAGAAGAACCCTGATGCCACATTGGTGTCAGATTTGGTTTGTTACCTGCTCAGGTAAATGTCTTCAACATGAGTATTTGAACTGAATCTTTCGGGGACATTTGTGCTTTTCCGCAGCAGTTAGTGAAACAAACATTTTCCTGGTTTGGTTTTCTCCACTGAGGCCCAAACGCACACAGATGATGCAGCTGTATGTTTTTAAGACATCAGGAGGCTGTTAGGGGAAGAGAGCTGCCTTTGAGTTTTTTTGACCTTCTCTTTTGGTTTCAGGCTCCCCAAACTTATCTTTTAATTGAGTAGGAATGTAAGGTGTGAAAAAGGTTTGCATCTTTGTCAGAACTTTATTCCTGCATATTGAATCCCTACACATGAAGATTTTGAATAACAAAAAGTTTCTGATTAGTTTCTGGACAGATGTTTAGCAGGATGTGTAACTGTCTTCTCCTAAATAACGAATAACTAATATTTTGAGCCATAAAGCAGTTCAACCTAAATTTTTCTTCCAGATTTGGTCAAATATCACAGTTTTCTCTCCAACTGATTTGCCCTTCTGTCTGAAAGCTGTAATCGCGTGGTGAAGACAGCAGCACATTAGAATTAAGTTAGATTTGCACTGTGTCCTCAGCCGGTCCGACCACCCAGTGGTTAAACTGCTGAGGAAGCACCAGTACCGGATTTACAACAGGCTCTACCCCATCGTGAGTAAAGGCCTGCCTCGGACTCCCGCCATGCCCCTGAGACCATCTCACAGCATTCACAACCTCCTTCATCCAGGTAAGACCAGGTCAGATGTTTTCTCTGGTGGGCTGATGGGAAAAGAATTTGCTCGGATTTATCTTTAATTACTCTGCTCACGAAAGCTTCCTTTTTTTTTGGGAAGGGGGGATTAAGTGAAAACCAAGTGATGGATTGTAAAGTCACTGAAGGGCAAGAAATTAAAATGACTTTTTTTATCAAGTGTGTTCAGTTAGAAAATTGATTTATCCAAGTAGTTGGATGCTTATACTCGCCTAGCAGCACAGGAAAAAAGACTGTTTTCATTGGTCTACGCTTTGTTTGGTAAACGGTCGTCTAACTATGTCGTTAATGTAATGTCTAATGTTGAAAGAAGTGTTAATTCATCCGTTTGTGTGCCCATTGCTTTAAATCATTCAGAGAGTTACAGGAAGCCAATCAGGACTGCTGGTAGCAGTGTGGGTGGCCAGAGCTTCAGCACAGACTCCTCGCTTTCTCCCTCCTGCTCTCACGACCTCCACACCAACTATTATGACGAAGACGTGGATGTGGAGGAGCCCCACACACAGGTGACGGTGGACCGGGAAAACTCGTTTGAAGATTTGGAACAGTTCCTGACCCAGCTGGACTGGGCCCCGGGCCTCAGCTGCACAGAGGACACCGTGTCAGAGTCTGAGCTGGCGTGTGACCCTTCGACCCGGCTGGAGCATGATGAGGGCCACATCCAGGAGCTGGAGACGAGGGCGCTGAAAGAACACCTGAAGGCTGTTGTCAAAGACATCCATATTGCCATTGGTGAGGACAGTGATTAGGGATGGATGTCACAAAACATCTTTACTGTTTTCTAAAAATGCCTCTCATTGGTATGAAATGACACGGCTGTTTGATTTGGTAACGTTTCAGATCAGCTTCTCTCACTATGTCTGCTGTCCTTTGAGTGTCTGAACACTGCCAGCTTTAAGGACCTCTGTCTGGCCAGCATAGAGGAAGCTTTCTTCATCCCCCTGTGGAGCGCCCTGGTGGCTCTGTTCAGGTACTGCACCTTTAATCCTCAACCTAAAACAAGTTGATTTTCGTTCCTGAAATGTTTAACGGCCATATCAATAAGAGTTTGAGGGAGAGAGCAGTTTATCATGCATTGATCCCTTCATCATAAAGAGGAGATACAGAAACTATGAAGCTAGATAAACCATCTCAAAACGACAGCAATTATGGACAAATGATTGCATAAACCCACAGTTGAGTCAAAACCCCCAAGGGACTATAAAACGTTGGTTATCATGACCCCAATGCAAAAAATCACAAGATGAAAAATTTAACTGAGTTTACAAATGTAGATATGACTAAGCAAAATACAAAAAATGTTTTACTGGATTTCCATTATTTCCTCTGCTTTTTGTCTCTTACGTTGAGGTTTTTCATCCCTCATTTTTCCTACCAGGTTTTTTAATTATGAAACATCCAGCAAAAATAAGTAAGCTTTTCATATACTGTTGAAAAACACTCGGTCCCTACTTCATTTCTGAAATCAAGTTTGCAGCAGTAATTTCAGCACTATTTAACATTCAAAAGATAGAAAACTGCTGCATATACACTCACATTATGTCAAATGTTGGTACATAATGCGAACTATGTAAGTAAAATACTGGTTATCCAGTTAAGTGTCATATAAATTAAATACTGCTAGTTTCTACACAGTAAATAAAACCTATCGATAATAGCTTAAAATAACATATATCTTGTGTTCTTGTCTTGTTTTCAGTGATCAGTATTGCTGAATGACCCCTGTCTTGGTTTTATTCTTATGTTTGTGTGGTATTTCTCAGGAGGGTCCACAGAGAGAGGGAGCAGTCGTTTGAGAAAAGCATCACAATGTACTCTGATGCTTCTGCGGGAGATGTCGGTGTTCCCCCCAAACTGTGTCCCCCAAACCTTGATGCACTACAAGGTTCCTACCCCTATGAGTCTGCGGTCCAGGAGCTCAAGCTACTCGTTCAGTTTTGCTGTCCACAGCGGAAGCTGGAGTGTATAGGTCGGTGAATTTCTATTGGTTCTATCGGTTACTTATGATAATTAACCACACAAAATCTCAATTTAAGGTATCTTCGTTTAAGGCATTCTTATACCCTGCAAAATACGCTGGCATGGCATTATTTTCATCCTTTTTTTCACAACTCCCATAGGGAAAGTCGAAGTGAAGCACAAAGTTTGACTTGAGCTGTGACTCGTTTGAGCAGCTTTCTTTCTGTTGGGTTTGAATGACTTGGAGCAGGGTAGTTTTCTCCTTCCTAAGCGAAAGCCTTCTGAAGGCTCTACATGGAAAGTCCTCGTCCTGAATACAGTGTGCATCAGTTGGGATGCAGCCAGTCTTTCAGATTCTTAGATCTCTTGCTGTGAACATTCCTGTAGGGGGAGCTCTTTTCTTTGTCTTGACAATAGCTAGTCTCAAAAAATGAAATAAAGTCCTGATTTCATGGGCCTCTGACTGCGGAGGCTAAATGTGTTTGTTGTCTGTTGATGTAAAGTGAACTCCACAGATCCAGCTGATCGCTTTCGCTCTGTTTGTTGCAGTGAGGACTCTACGGCTGATCTGTGCTTGTGCTGAGGACTACAGGTCCCTTCATGACATGGATTCTTCTCCAAAAACAGCAGCCATGTGAGTAATTAAACTGGAACGGGACGTTTCACTGTTTACTCTTCTTTAATCTTTGTGTAAATTTCCTCACTCAAAGATGGCTGCTCGTACATCAGGCAACATGTAAGATTATGAACTGTTTTAATCCCTCTGCAAACGACCTCATTAAACCTTAGAATGAATAATTTCCTCTTTTGCTTCATGCATGAAATGGGGAGGGAAAAACTATCCGTGAGCCCACTGGAATTACCCAAACATTATTGAAGGGCTCTGCCTTGGTAGCTGGACTGTCAGGTCTCATCAGTGCTCACTCAGGCCTGGCACAGCAGGGGCTGTCCCGGGTCGGTTGCCCCCCTGTAGAGAGTGCCTCTTCCGGGCCAGACCGTAAAGTGGGTCGTCCTGTCTGAGTTTGGTGCAAACCCAGGGCCCAACGCGGAGGTATGGGGAGGAGAGACAGACATGGGAGTTTGTGGAATCAATGATAACGATGAGGGTCAGAGAGCCGGACAAAGACTCAGTGGGTTGTAGCTTTTATAATTGAGAAAGTTGAGTAGTGTTTGGTCTGTTTGGGCCGAAACTTTGAACAGTAGGAGCAGAAATTGGCATATTATTTTTGTACCCCGAGTTAAATTCAGGAGAGTATACAATGCTGCACTCGCAGTAAAAATAGAAACTGTCTGACATCAGAGTATTAAACCCAAAATACTGGTGGTCCAGCAGTTTTAGTTAATGTTGGACCCTTAATTGAGCTTAAAACTGTGTGTGTGTGAAACTGTGGGATGTGTCACATCCTCCGTCACTCAGTAAAAGTCCTTCGTTAAACTTTTAATGGTCCCCTAAAAGCAGTCTGTAAAGGCCGAAAGACCTGTGAGTCTGCCTCGTTCTTAAACTCTTGTCCTCTTTTCTGTTTTTCTCTGTAGTTGTGTCCACTAATGGTTTTTGAGAATTGTTGAGGCTGTGTCTGCTGTTCCATATCTGTCTCTTTGCATTGGATTTGAACAGAGACGGCAGAGTAGAATAGATGACTGGGAAGTTGGGAACAGCACCGAAACCTCTCTGTCCACAAAAGTTGTGACACCGATGGATTTTGGTGTATTTTCTCTGTCTGTTAAAATAAAAACACCGCCTTAACAAAATGTCACTCTGAAAAAAGAAAACCGAGATAAACTCAGTGGGGGGGAAAAAAACACTGTTTGCAAACCACAAAAAGCCATTTTGATTTAATCGTTTTGAAATCCAATGAAAAAGAAGAGGAAAAAAACAAGATAACTCAATTCAAAGCTGGAATTAATTCAAATGTGAAAATCCGCAGGAAAATCAAAGCCAGTAAATTTGAAAGTCAGTAAAGAGAATAATTTATAGCGCATTGGTTTTCCGAACAGGCACGCATGCGGTCGCCTTTCTTAGTACATGTAAATACAGGTTGAGTCAAAGAATCCACTTTTAATCGAGGCCTTACTCAGGATTTGGGAGTGAATTTAGTCCATGTTCTGCTGGTAAACAACATTTTTGAATAGGGAGTTCTTCATTTATTTCCTTACTTTCCCTGGCTGTCCTACTTCTGTAGTACTCATTGTCCTCCCTTTATTCCTATAAATGCTTTTTCTTTTGTCCTTGACCAGCCAGGAATTAACCTTTTTTTTTTGTCTGTGAGCTTTGTTTCGCTTTTGTTTTTCTCTTCCATTGTGTTGCTTGGTTGATTACCATTCCTCCTCTGTATCCTTTTAATTAAGAGCTTTCTCTGCTCTGTTTTTGTCCAACACGTTCTGTTCTCTGATAAGCTGCTGCAACGGAGCAAACTCCAAACAAAGCGCCCGATCTTCCCTCCCCTCATTGTTTTCTTGGAATGCAGAGACACGAGTTGTCGTGTGAGAGATCAACGTTTACGAAAGCAAACTCGGAAGATTATACTTCAGGGCTGCGCTAGTGAGACCGTGTGAGGGTCCAGCTCTCTGCGGTTACTTGAGCCCGTCCACACCTTCCGGGACCTGCAGAAGAAGAGTATCCCATTGCATTCAGCCGGGTCACTCCAGGGCCATCAAACTACTTTCTCACGCAAGCTAGCAAGCCAGGAGCTAGCCCTGCGTGTGAGCCCTGATAAACAAACGGTCACTGTCTACACGCAGGGAAAAGGCTATCTTGCTGTCTTCATCTCTCTGGCTGCAATTTGTCCTCCCAGCAGATCTCGGGGAGAGAAAATAGCCGTATCATTCCCAACCCTGAACACGCACCCCATTAAGAGCTACATTTGATTTTGTTTTCACTCAGTCCCCTTGGGAGTGCAGGCACTTTGTACATGTCACTTTGTTGCTTTTTCTTTCAGTTTTTTGCCTTTTGCTATGTTTGTTCCTGTTTCCCTGGGTTTCACCACCTACTTTCCCTTTCATCTGATAGCGGTGCAGATGACCTGTTGCCCATCCTTTCCTTTGTGGCTCTGCGGTGTCAGTGTCCCCAGCTGGTGTCTGAATGTGCTGCTTTGGAGGAGTTCATTCACGAGGGGTGAGTCATCTTTGTGGAAATAAGTGAAAGAGAATTTTTGACATTTATTTTGAGAGAGGAATACATTCCGGCTGCAATTTTCCTGCAGCTGGCCAGCAATTACAGCACGCCGTCAATATGAAAAGACTCTTGTCTTGTTTTGAAATATTTGGATTCTCACATGAAATAAATCTGAGGAAAAAGTCTGAGACAAGTGCAGCTTGTTTCTGATTTAGAGCTGCACAGAAAGACACTGTTTCCCTCTTGAATACTGAGAATACCTTATTGGAGGCTACGCTCTGGACAGCTCAAGGTAGACACATGTTATAACATCCATATTATTCTACAAGTGCCCAGAAATTAGTCTTATGAATTTGAATTTGACATGAATTTAAGCCACTTTACAAAAGAAAAACAGCACTAAATACACGCACTCTGCCATATTTGGTTTGTAGGAGCCACTGTTGGCACCGCTATCTGTGCTTTTATATGTTTTATCAGTGGATCAAAGTACTCTCCAGTCATCTACTGCTAATTGCTTTAGTGTTATCAGTGTATTAGCAGCTCCTTCCTTTAGTTTTATGGTCCTTGCTTCATTTTTTTCCTAGCTGCTGTTTCAGTTAACGACTTCTTAACCAGCTGTGATCCTAACAGCCCATCACCGAACTGCATACAGGCTAAGTGAGAGCCTTGAGAAGTTTCTCTGAGATTTTAGATAGCAAAGCGAAGCTAAATGGAGAGGTTTTTTTTTTTCTTATTTTCCTTCTTAACTCAAATTCATTAAATGGCCTCTGGCACAAAAATAATATCCAATATTATTCACGATATATTTAAATTCTGAAGCTCAATATAAGATGTTTCAAACTTATATACATAACAAGTGTTTCGCTTGTGAAGATTGAATTTTTTTTTACGAGATTTCGACCAGAGAGCAATCTTTTCCTTTGGTCTCATAATCATTGCTTTTGAGATTTGTGTTGTGGTTGCTGGCCCATCCGCTCGCGCATGTTGGTGGTTGTGAGGATATGCCATGCAGTGTGTACAGAGCAAACTCCGAGGTTTACTCTCACTTTCTTGACCTAAAAAAAGGCCTCCAGCTAAGACAGGAATAGGACCAGAGTCCACATTGTGCGTTTTTTTTCCAGGAAAACAAACTGTACGAGTAGGTGAAGGGCTCCCGTTTACATTTTTCTTAGTTTGGATTAAAGTACTCTTGTGTACTACACAAGATTTTGACTTATATGGTATAGCAGTGTTGACTTAAGTTTAATCTTTGCTGCCCACACACCTGTCAGATGTTGATGGGTGCTCAACGTGGAGGGTAAACCTTGTTGCCAAAAACTAAGAAAAAGACATCAATGGAGGCAGAGTTGAGGAGCTCTTGTCATGAATTGCGATACATCTCTGTGTGTCATCGCGTGTGAGTTCAGACCACACCTAAGAGGTCTACTCACGCCTGTTAAAGCAGTGGGTTATGAAAGGCAGCTGGTTCGGTTAGCTGTTGCCAAAGAATGTCAGGATATTTGGGATTTGGTTTTTCTTCCCCATAAAAATGCAAATAAAGTACCAGTTTATTTTTCATTCAGTTCAGTGGGTTGGGAGTGATGGAGGAGGTGGAGCCACGAGGCCTGGAGTCGGCTAAGCCAGAGGACACACTTCCAGTTTCTTGTGTGAATGTGAAGTTTATCACAGATTTCCTCGTTTGACTTATTCGTCTGTCAAAACAGAAAAAAGGGTTTAGTCCTTTGAAACTGTGGTGGGAGACGATGTGAGTGATGGCTCGGGCTCTGATTTTAGTGTGTTCCTCTGCACGGTTTATTTACAGCTTCTACATAGAGTAGATGAGTGTGTGTTTTCGTCCTCACACGGGCTTCTGGTTCATCTGTGCATTGCGGCATCTTGGCTGAAGTCGGTGTCGTGTCTTGCTCTCATTAGCTGAGGGTCAACCAGAGTTCTTCACAGCCTCCTCTCCCTCATCTCCCTTCCCTGTGGGGAAACAAAAAAGCCTCACTCTTAACTTGCTGTTTTCACGAATCAATCTTCATGTCATCGATCTCCCATCCCTTGAAAATATGTGTACGAAAGCTGTAAATGAGGAATGGGAAAACACCCAAATGAGTTTTTCATTGCTCTGAGTTGTTTGGATCTTTTAACTCATATTAGAAACAAGCTGATGAAAACCAAGTGAATAAAAGTACTGTGGGAATTGTAAAATTGGCTTGTTTTGTTCCGCTTTGTTAGGAATAACGTGCCGTTTGACCTCTCGATGGTTTGTGTCATCTCCATTGTTGAATGCCAGCACCTTGTCGTTTTCCTTTATGTTGACTGAATAACTTTTACCATCTTTTTCCGTCAGGTATTTGATAGGAGAGGAGGGCTACTGCCTGACCTCCTTGCAGAGTGCCCTGGCCTTCGTTGAGTCGCTGCACACAGGAGGCGCACACACTCCCATTGAGCTCAACTAAAAAAGGTAAGGGCTCCATCCTGAAAGGCATTTGGTTCAGATGAGGTTTCTCAGATAATCGACAGCCCCAATTCACTAACTCTAGCTCTTCTCTAAATAATGTTTGTGGAGAGAGATTCCCAGTTTATCTGGACGGTTCTCTTAATTCCATGCTAAGGATCTCTGACCAGACACGCCACACAATTAGTGCTATGTTGTAAACAAGCTCAGAACAGAGAAACTCGTCCTGGTTTGCTGAATCTATCTTCATCTCAACACCTGCTGGGACAACGGGAGTCCATTCCTCCACATGGGTGTACATTTTTGTTTGTTGTTATTTGACCTGTTGATTGACCAGATCTTTAGCGGATCTGGTGTTAGTCATCAGAGTTTGTGCGACTTTTCAAGCACAGTGTGACATCGCAGATAGGCTGAGGGATAGTTGGGGTGAAGTGGGGACGCTGGTGCGCCACAGCGGGGGCTGATTGTGTGGCTGAGAGGCCAGTCTGGGGCCCTGGGTCACGTCTCCACACTGCTCCTCCATCACCACAGCGCCTGTTATAAAACACGACATCCTCAACTGGCACACCAAAACTCCCAGTGACACAATGATTCCACTCCGGTCTGATGTTTAAGTGTGCTCCTCAGAGCTGGGATTTCACTGCACAGCTCAGCGGTAGGAGCACTCACACGGGAAGGACTAATTAGATTTTAAGTGTCCGCTGTGTACAAACGGACAGTTTAAGTGGCTTCAAACATACCTTTTCAGTTTTAGCTGTTATGAACTTGGCGATAAAGTAAATTAGCCACATAAGTAGCTACATTGTTTACAACTGGGTTGAAGTTCATAAGACGAGAGAGCAAATTCTTTTTTACCAGAGATCAAAAAGAATCTGGAAAATTCAAAGTCCCAAGCAGCCCAGCTAGCTCTGTGCCCATTACCTCTCCTTGTTAGGCCCGTCAGACTGAATGCTGCTGCTTTCACAGGACAGAAATAGGATGCCATCGTAGAAACACTCAGCAGGACTGTCATATTACATCCAGCCTGTCTTCCTCTCTTCCCTGTTCAAGTTAAAGCTGCTTGACATGCCCACTTGAATGGAAACTTCTTTCTATTTGGCTAAAAACTTTTCAAGTTTTCAAAGCAGGAGCATTTTCCCCAAAAACCTTAAAAATTCAGATCTACACTGATGTCAGTCTGTTAGTTTTCCTCTGTTGGTATAAGTCATGTATAACACAAGTTAAATAAGTCTTTAGTACTGCGCTCCCATTGGCTGCCGCTTTGCTGCTGTTAATGCACTCTGTCGTGGTGCATTGGGGTAGTTTGATGAAACTGCTTGGAAAGCACAGATCTGCAAAAACACCTTGACGAGGTGGATTTCTTTTTCACTTTATTCCCTTATCACAATCATTTTTAGTGTATAAAAACTACACTGGAACCTTTAACTCTTTGTGTTGTGAACTTATCTGTTTTCGAAATATCTTTACAGTATTTTCTTAAAATTAAAAAAAAGAATTAAAAATCAACTGGGCACAAACATTTTCCTAACATCAGCGGTTACTGAATATCAACATGTTTTTATTTCCTTTTGTTTTCCTGGACCAGTTGACCGTGGGTGAATAATTCAAATAAATCGGGTGAAAAGCTGCTAAACTCAAACAATCTGGCGTGACTTATTTACATGTTATGACGCAAAAAAAAAGTAACGAGAGGAGATAAGTTCGATGGAGGACCACGACGAGACAGAGTGAGCTCTCCCAACATGAAAGTTTTACAAATGTGGGAGTTTCACTTTTAGGAGAGATAAGACTCCTGTGAACCTTTGACTGCTGTTATCTAAACACGCGCCTGATGAGGTTTTCTTATCTTCAGCGTTTTTGCCCACAGAGCGGATGTCACGATGTGTGTGTGTGCGCGTGGGGGGGATCACAATCAGGATCATTTTGTATGAACTATCTATGGGAAGGAAAGATGCAGTGACATGCTGCAGAGTGGCTGCTGCACTTTGATTTCATCCCTCATCAACAGTCCCGCATATGGAAGCCCCCACCGAGACCCCAGGCTGTGCACAAATAACACAGTTTTTGAGGCAAACGGACAATGATTTATTTATCTGTGAAGAGCCTCAGTCATCCTGGTCAGGCTTGGAAAGTTCAGTCAGACGGCTGGAGGTGAAGTTTTCTAGAAGACGTTTGGCCTCTGATCCAAGAAGCTTCTTCAGTTCTAACTGATGGAGCTCTGAGTTAATATACTGTAGGTGGAACTAAAGGATTAGGGTTAGTTGTTTGTTTGATTTTTTAAAAACTTTTTTGGTTTTTTTTTCAGGTTCAAATTTTTTTAAAAGTTTCTATTGGGTTTAAATGACTTTTTTTGAAAAGTATAGAAAAGTTTAGTTTAGGCCACTGGACGTGAAGTTTTTTCTAGAACACGTTTGGCCGTTCATTTTTTAAGCTTTGTTCATTTTTGGTTGAAAAAGAGGCTGCTGAACTCCTATTTTATACAGACAATTGATGGTGACCTTTAAACACAGCTGAGCATTGGTGTGTAAATAGAATGAACGGCCTCCATGTGGATGAACTGCTGCTGAAAGTGTTCTGCTCTGCATTACAGACTGCTGTCCGGGCTCCAAACAGCAGGCTCTGCGCCGCAGGGCAGAACCCGCCGACCGGCAGAACCCGCCGACCGGCAGAACCCGCCGACCGGCAGAACCCGCCGACCGGCCGCCTCCTGCAAGTCCACGCATGTTGTCCTGGACACACAAACGCATTCCACACCTGACCCAGGAACTTCCCTCTGCTCCGTTTCTGACTATAAACCAGTGCCTATAAGTTAACCGGGGCCCGTGCCTGGTGACCGTCCTGCTGCCCGCAGACTGCCGCCACTCCCTCTTTGACGGGTTCATTCGATCCCTCCTCTGCTGAACAGAAGACTGAACTTTTACCTCCCCCTCCTTTTTTTTTTTTTCTTCTTTTGTTTGTCAACTATTTGCAGCACTTTTCATGTGGGCTGTCTCGCGTGTACAGCATCATTCCAGCCTCCTTTTCTGTCGTTCTGTCCTGAAACCTTCTGTTATCACAAGTCTTCAGACTTCAGAAACCCTTCAGCTGCTTCACAGCTGTAAATTCAGTTCTCATTTGGATAGGCCTGCTGTGCACGTTGGGGTCCATCCAGATTCAGTAAGGGAGGTTGCAGATAGATGTTCCTACTTAAGATATAAATACGGGTCCTGATTGGAAGCATGTAGTTTCCCTCATTCCTGGGGTGTCCACGTCCACCCCCCCACCCTGTGAAATGAAGTGTCTGAACGGTGCTTTGCAGAGTTTAAGAAAAAAAAAAAGATTTGTGGATATAACGAAGACTGAAGCCGTCTGAAAAAACCCGGTTGTGTGCATTTAAACCTGGAGGAAGCGTTCATCCACAGACCTCCATCGGGGCCACTGGAGGGGCAAGGCCGAGCGATGGTGTCAGAAACGGAGCGTCAAGCAGGTCGGGTCGTACTTACTGTGGAGAACTCGCACTTTGTCAGCAGGCGTCACTCTCTGGGGAGCCTGTTGCCGACCAACTTGCAACCCAAAGGGATTGTGGGTGCATGAGACTCTTACATTTTTTTTGATAGATATGCACCAGTTCTTACTTGCATGAATCCTTTTTTTTTGTTTATTTTTCTTTTTTTATACCTCGAACTCCTACTTGTTTTTTAGGTTCTTATATTCAGTTCCAGCTCATTTCATTCCTGACATGTTTTTTTCTTAACCAGCATGTTTAGAAATAGACCAGCAGGTAGATCATATGGCGCTTACAACAAACATTTTATACTTTTAAACAGACACTGAAATGGATGTGCATCTGAAACCGTCATGTTTTTTTGTTGTTTTTTCAGCCCTTCACCTGTAACTGATATTTTCATGGAAAAATTTGATGAATTCCACTCACACAAATGCAGCTGTAACATCAAAATGAATTTCTAATGTGCGTGAATCCTCAGGCCGGGGGAAACTTCTTAGTCTTGAAAGAGCAGGTTCACAAAGTGAACTTGATGTCAGACTGGTTTCATACAGATTGAAAGGCTCTGGGTACATTTATAAACTGATGAAATCAGTTGAATGTCCAATGGATTCAGATATCTGGAACCACAGACTGCCTCAGCAACTACATTTTTGTGAATTTTCATTTTTATTTGTTTAGATTGAAATGACTATTTAAGATGTATATTTTTAATATTGTTTGGGTCCAAAAGATGTAAAAAAGATTTCTTAAGAGTTTTTTGGAATTGTTACCATATCTGCATTTAATTTGAACATCTCTGTGTAATTAATGGATAAAAACAGCAGGATCTTGTGATCACTTGCTTAGTGGTCTGAGCCAGTATGTTGATGAAGAGGATTTATTGTACATTTTGCATTGCTTCTGAAAACTGAATGTCATTTTATTGTGAAATTGCCATGTGAATGCTTGGGAATTATAATTTATGTTTGAGAGGAGAGTTAATAAAGAGAAGAAATGTTTAAATAATATAAAGCGTTGTGCTTTAATTCAGCAAAATGTGAGATGTCGACTGACTTTCACAACTTGATTTTGGTTTTATTTTAGGCCCAATTTGAAGGAGAAAAATCAAAGAACTGGCTGGAACTGATGTTTTCTATGTTAATATTTGAACATGTTTTCTGTTATCCCTCTATTTAAGTAAGAATATAACGATGGGATGAGTCTGTTACCTCACTGACAGGTTTGTTTCCGTCATCTCTGTAGTTATTTTTGTGCACATGGACACATTATCTATGAGGAATTTGGACAAACACCAAGGATTTGTCTTTACTGCCTTTCATAGTGAAGAAATAACATGGAGACAAAGATAAAAAGAAACGACACAATAACATTTATTTGGTAAGCAAAGAAAGAGATGGTTAGTTTTTTTTAACAGAAATCCTGCATAAAACTACATTTCTGCCTTAACAGTTGTGGCTGCTTTTCTTAAATCAAGGAACAACATATTTGCCTGGAAATGAAGCCAAAACTGCTGATGTTCAATTGGCCAAGTGAAAAGTATCATCTCATGGTCATTTAACACAACATTTCTCCCAACTTTAACACCTGCACCAAGAAAAAAAAAAAGTAATTTTCAAATGAAAATGCTTCTTGAATCTGAACCTCTTCATGAGCCGCTCTGTTCAGGGATGAGTTTCCCCCTGTGACGTGTTGGTGTCCAGCTGTTTTCACATGTGTGTGACATCACTGAGTGGTCCCACCCTGCTGATGTGGTGGGACACGCCCTGCCGGGGACACTCGGACCACTCCTCCACCCTGACCGGACAGCTGGCCGTGGAACAGGCGTCTTGTTTGTGTGTGAGACCCTATCGGTCATTTCCACAGCAGCATGCAGGCGGCTGTTCTTGATTTGTTTATTGGCTCATAAAAGCTCCGTTATGGGTAGGCAAGTCACAGTTAGTCTGCCATAAGGCGGAGAGGATGTGCCAGAGAGGGAGCCGTGCGCGTGTGCCCTCCTGGCTTTTTTTAATCAGCCCTGTGGTGTTGCCTTAAGTGCGACGTTGGTTTGTCATGGAAAGAAAATCCCCCTCAGAAACCAAGACCATAGCTTGTTTTTGTTATCTGGTTGAAGATTTGGATAAACAAAAAAAGACTGACACCACTCTAAATCACTGAAAGGGCTCGTCATAAATCTCCTTCTCTTTACATTTGTTAATCGATATCAGAATTTGTGGAGCCTGTAGGTTTAATTAAGCCCGTTGGTTTAATTAGTCACCTGTGCCTCCGACTGACAAAATAATGTGCGTAAACAAAGAGTTTCTAACTGAGAAACTTGAAAACAGTGTGATGCGTTAAACAGGTTGGCAGATCGTCACACAGGTTCCTCTCCTACATGTTTCTGGATTGTGACTGATCAGCAGGTTCCCCCCCAGAGGCTTCTGGTTCCTTTACCACCATCACTCATCTTCCATGGAGGAGGTGCTGGAGTCTTTCACTGTTTCTTTCTAAAATTTCTAAACTTTCGCCCAGTACAATGTGGAATATTATCGACCCAAGTTGGATCATTAATCCACAGCTGGTAAAAGACCCGGAAAAAGGATTGCACTTCGGTTCAAAGTCAAAATGACCCGAACTTTTCATGCCCTCCTGCCCAGACACCCACATTTCTGCCCTATCCTGAATCTGCTGAGGATCATCTCAGAAGACAGTGGCCCCCATTCCGCCCGGAACAAAAGCCAGCTTTCTTTCCTTATTAGAATGAGCTGTGTTTGTCCCTTTCAGGGGAAGGGATGGGGAGGGAGCTGGAAGAGGAGATGAAGAAGAAGTCGTGCCCAGTGGGCTTTTACTTTTCAGTTGCATAGAAATTTGGCCTAATTGAGCTTTCAGCCGACAAGATGAGGCACTCCACCCCCAAATACGGCCCCCCAAAGGGAGCATTTTTCTTCATTCCATCTACTTTCTGATCTCATTGGTGCAATACTTTCATTTCTTCTTTCTTTTTGTTATGGTACATTTACATCTTTCTGGAAATCAGTATCCCACAGTTTGTTCAGGGGACACGCTGCCCTAAATACCCCTTACATAAAGCCGCCTGCTGTGGATGGGTCAGAGAGCCATGCTAGTCTGAACCCTTCCAATTTAGCCCACTCCCTCTAACACTGAAGTACACTTCACATATTTCCAGGAAAACACCTCAATAACCACACAGCCAAAATATTGAATATATCATCATTTATTTCAGTTTGAATGTAAAAAGCTTCATGGTTTTGTTAAACTTTACATCACTCATGATAAAAATGCTAGAAAGAGGCTAAAACCAAGCAGGCCCTGGTGCCATGCTGTCGCGTTAGGACTCAATATTCATCTCATACTAACAGCATATTTCAGACTAATAAACAGTGTATGACATCGCCCTTCTACACATTGGGATCCAAAAATCTTCACATATACGCGTGTTTAATTTCAGGTAAAACTCAGATTCTATCCAATTCAAACAGTGAGGTTTTGTTGAGACTTGCAGGAGCTGAAGTTTTCGGCGCGCTTTTGAGTGCAGAAGGTTTGGATCAGGTATCAACACATCACTTTTAAGCTTTCCTGGGATGACAGTATGCATACAATTTTGACAATTTTGCACTCATATATACCCTATATTCTTAGGGTATATTTCTCATTTTTTTGAGACTGCAGATTAAACAACACAATGAGGAAACATGTCTGGTATGAATTCTTGATTTTTCAGCCGTTTGTCCTAACAGAAGTTGTATCAAAATGGTTATTATGTCTTCCAGACCATCACAAAACTGTGTAATAATAAGCGAGAGGCAGGCAAAAAGGAAGTGATACAAACCGTGTGCAATTCTGTTTTCTTTTTTTTCCATATTACACAGTAAGACATGCAGATAAATCGCTCACTAACTATCTGAGAACAGGCAGGATAACATATAACATGTACTTGGATTTGAGTTATGAGCTGAAGAAGCGGCGCGTGTGTTTCTGGAGCGTTTGGGAGCAGAAGCAGCCCGTTCCCAGCAGCAAAGACGGGGCTGTGAGCTCAAAGGCTTCCCTCCAGGAGGGCCGTCTTTAGGTCTGCGGGGCAGTTGATGGTGAAAACCGTGTGCGACGCCTTTCGTCTCTCCACAAGGGCGGCCACCGCCTCGCCCAGGTCCAGGTGGTTCAGGTAGCCTGGCGCCATGCGTTCTGGAGTACCCACACCGGCGTTGATCTTCACCTGCCGGCAGGGACCGCGAGAACGGGGAAACACTTAAATCAACAACACATATTGTCAGTCCTCAGGAACAGGAATAAAAGACAACCTCGCATACTCGCTCTTTGGGTTTACGAGTCCCGGTTTCATCTAATGTGCGTGTTTTTGAACGGTGAAAGGACGCGGCAGCACCCAGACCCAACATATAAAGGCCCTTAGCTGGGATTCAAACTGTTACAGATCTGTTACAGGTGTAAGACACGTCTGAATATGAGTGCAAAGCTTATTTCCCTGTCAAAGTTATTGAAACTAGTAATGAACATTTTTTATGTACCTTTAATTTTTGTGGACTTTTTTATTGGTTGAGAAGTTAACACCCGTGGATATTTACACTGGAGCAGAGTTATTTATCAAAACCCTAAAAACAGGCAATATATTTAAGTACATGATTAAACTGAATCCATTTGAATGTCTGATTGTTTAGCTTCAAGTCAAGTTCTGAGTGGGTTTAATCATGTAGAGTAGAAACTCTCGTTGGTGGTGGTGTGATACGGCTGGGCTGTGTGGATGTTGAGCTGACTTTCTGCTGTGTGGTCCCATTAAAGCCTCACCTGGTTGAGTTTGCAGGGCAGCTCGGGGTATTCCTCTCGCAGCACCTGGCAGAAAGCCAAACTGCTGGCAGCTCCCACTGTCAGGAAGCCCGTACCAGGCATCAGCAGCTTCTCTCCAGCTCCTCCTGTGGAGAAAAAAAAACAAAAAAACAAGACGCAATGACACAACATTTGCCTTTTGTTTGTTCCTTCTTTCTCAAATTTACTGAGACATGCAGCTGAGCGCATGCATGCATGCACCATAGCTGTTCCGCTTTATGACGGGACTGAAATACATATGAAAAACATATTCTCTTCATTTGGGTTTGGCTTGCAGGGCTCCATGCTCCCTGTGCTTTCTGGTAGTAGAAGAGTGGAGTGGTTGTTCCCTTCATGTCTCACCGGTGATGAAGGTGTATGTACAGTCAGAGCTGTCCCTCACCAGAGGGAAGAAGGCCTTCCAGGACACGAACGTGCTGTACAGTAACGTCTCCATTACCTGGAGAGTTGACAGAAGAAGAAATGCTGACATCCTAACCTGCAGAAACACTCATTTATACATCACAACTGCTGCAAAGTCTTTCTTAAAAGCACACGCTGTAGGAATTTCTCCATCTAACGGTGAAATAGTATTCTGCATCCTAACTTATCGTGCTTTCTATAGCCTCCGTTTTCAAATGGGTATTGCAGTTAGGAAAATTCTTCCTTATGAGGAGAGGTCAGATCATTGCAGAGGTCATTTTACACCAAATGAGGACACATTTAGAAATGAGGACAATGATTTTAGCTGATAAAATACTGCACAATGTCCTTTTAAGGAACCCCGAGAAGCCATCAGCACAGTCAATGCATCCCAGCTTTACACACACACAGAAAAAAGCTTTCTATCTTTTTCTTTTGCGTTTACTGACCCAGTGTAGATCTTTGAGGGACTGGGTGTGCGGGGGCCCCCCCTGCCACCAGCTGAAGCCCAGAGAAGAAACGATGTCGGTCACCTTCCCGACCTCCTTCAGCAGCGCCTGCTTCACCTGCTCGGCTCCGTCCTCCGACCCTGGAGCAGACATGCAGGGAGTCGGGTGGGGAAAGGCTTCCACATCTCAGATCTACTCACGGCCATGTGTCACAGGGTTTAACCTGCTTTGAGGGAGTCTGCAAAACCACTAAAAAACCCAGAAACGGTACTGAGATACAGGCTGTAAAAAGCTGAGATGTGTTTGCACCGTGGCCCACAACAAACCTACAGGCTAAATTCACTTTGGTCTGCTCTGTCCAAAGGACTTTGTTCCAGAAGTCTTTGCAGACCTAAGCTGACCGGGTGAACCTAATGGGACGTCAGCTGGAGACTGAAGCTGTCCTGAATGTTTTACACTCGTGAATAATCGTCCTGGGGAAGCAACAGCTGCTTCCCCAGGGTCAGGGCTGATGTTTTTCCTCCTTGGCAAAAGATTAAGGGGCATATCAAATGCACTGGGATATTCTGGGAGGGATTGTTAATGATGCATCGTGAGCTCAGGACAAAAACCAATCGTCCCTCAGATGTGAGGCTAACTTACCGACATTCCCCACAACAGTGGTGAGACTACTCTTTGTGTTTGGAGAGACAAACGATCGAAGTCTCTCCAGACGACTGTCATCTCTGGAGATCACCGCGACTTTAAAACCTGCAAATACACACCAGATATTCAGACCAATCTTTTGCCAACAGACAGAGGCAGCACATTTAAAAGACAAATGCATGCTTATCAAAGCCCAGAGATGGATGAACCTGAGTCAGTTCCACCAACAAAACAGAGGGTGTGAAGCCAGAAAGCTGTCACCAGTGCATCCTCCTTCACTGAAAAGGCAATTATCGTGGATGCGAACTGAGACTCAAACAATCTTTAAAAGCAGGGATGAAGGCTTACTCAGCTACCTCCGACCATAAACTATGATTTCACTGTTGGTGGCAATCATGGGAGGTGAAGGCGGCCGAGGTTCTGATGGCTTTCTTTTGTGCAATCATGGTGATTTCACAGAAATCCCAAACAGAACAAATCCAAAAAGTGCAGGTTATGTGACTCAAGGGATAATGAGGCATTTTGTGTGCTCACAATATTGTACCAAATGATGAAAGGGTGTCAAAAACAAAACTAGATTGATTAATTACCATATTTAACATATCAAATAATTGGAAAAAATGTAAATTCAATCTTTTTGAAGGGCAAAAGTTGGTGATGAGACAGAATTCTGACTGGAAGAGGATTGAATTAAACTTTTGTCCACCAGGACAGAATCTTATCTCTGAAAAGATGGTATGATGTCACCATTTGGGGACATTTTGCTGCCTCTGGACCAGCTTGCTTTCCCATCAAAATAAATTCTGAAGCAGCAAATCTCAATGAACATTTCGGGCCATCTGTCTAAAGAGAAGAGGAGGATCGTGCACTAAGATGACAGTTTCTCTGTCAAAGAACAAAGTTTCTGTGGAACTCAAATCTGATATAAAGTCCCAGCTGTTTTATTTACAGAAAAATGAATTAAAGCTGAAGGATTTGGTGGTCAATCTAATGCATAAAGGTATCATATACCAACGGTTACTCACACATTACTGTGCAATCTCCCTCTAAACCTACATGAGTCCTAAATATTCTTTAGAATTAATTTAACTGGGCTGGTTTATATTGTTTTTTTGTGGTTATTCTTTAATATTAACCCTCCCTAATTATTGTTTGAAACGAGGGAAAATGAATAACTTTTTTTCCCTCTTTTATATGTTGCTTTATTCAGTTATTTTGCCAACACTGTGGTCTCCTGAGTTACGAAAAGTTGGTAAAAGTCCACATCAACCATCAACGTATAAATGAACTGAAGAACACTTGGCTTGAATATTTTTTACAAAAATGAACTGATAACCCATCCTGTCATAACCCATCCTTCAAGACCAACAATAACTGTCCGTACACCCCACTAAAACATTACGCAGCGAAAGTCTGTCCGACTCATTGCGCTCAAAAACCAAACCAGCGTTTTGTGCGCAAAACTGCGGAGAAACAAAAAAAAAAGTAGAAGTCCGAGCTTAAACGCTAAACCTAATTGGGGAAAGCACATCCCTCCTTGCCTCCTGATCTTACCTTTGTCCAGCAGCGCTTTGACGACCCCAGAGCCCACCGTCCCCGCTCCTCCCAGGACCAACACCACCCTGTCCGAGTTTGACATGCCAACTGCACGGACCTGCACGAGGATGAAGGATGGGGGGGATGACAATGTGCACGCGGGGAGAGAAAACTCCGGGTTCTGCACAGCACCTTGGCCAAAGCAGGGAGCTTTAAAGTAGCTCAACAGGTCTCAGTCCCGCCCCTCTGCAGCTTCTGCAGCCTCTGAGTCTCTGGAGCTTCTGAAGCCACGCCTGGGGGTCAATCACAGAGGTCCATCACTGCAGTAACCTCATGACTCACCGTGTGTGTTTATCTGATGTTCTTCAGCCTGAGTCCCCTTGTCCAAATCAAGTGCTCACCTGGATCAAGTGAAGTGGTGGAGCATTTAATCCCAGCAGCTCCACCAACTGGACTCCCTTTTCTCCACTCTTCAGTGTTTAAACTTCCATCTAAAGTTCCTCTTCAGTCACTGACTAGTTGTTTTTGACATTTAAGATAGGTCATACTTGAAGGAAAACGTGTTTGATCACACAGGGAAATAAGTCAATGATAATTTGAGTCAGGCACATTAAATGTGACCATTGAGACCAGCCCATTTAAAACAGCCTCTGCAACGCTTTTTAACGTTGACTAAGTTTAGAATTAAAGTCGCCTTTCAGATATGAGGCGAAACATCTGTAAGAATCCATAAAAAAGAAAACCAGTGGGTTTTGCTTAGCCCTCCATACTCAAATTACTGAGAATCCACACACCGACATGTTGGGGCATTGTGATGATTCAGGATGAGTAGGAGTAAATTCCAACAAACATCATTCAGCCAAGTACTGCAAACATACTCCTCATTCAGCTTCAATACACAAAGTGTGTTATTTGTTTGATTTTGTGCTTCCTATTGTAATAAACTCAGCACATTTCTCTTTCTTTGTCAAGCCTAATACTGAACTTTTTATTTGTTATTTTTACAAAGCTCTACCATATCTTGTCAAATGTCAAATGTATAGTAAAGTAGTTGAGATATCATATGATGTTTTATTTCCACTTGGTTTGAAATATTGATAGGACATATATACTAACAATGCTTTAGATAGAACAATAGCTATATTTGAACCCTGTATTGTTTAATATCCATAACAGAAGCAATGGAAGGTCAACGGGTTGATTTTGAAGGTGTAACACAGGAAATGTTGCCATCTGCTGGATACATTTCCTGTGTGGAAAATTATTGTTATTTTGAAATAAATTTCCATGCAAGCCTTTCTCGAGTTTTTTATCTCTTCATTTTTACCTGAAGCGTTGATTGGAAAACAAGACATAAAAAAGAATTGAAAACCAATTCAGGATGTAAAACTCCTCCCTCCGGCCTGTCCTGGTACAAATCCAAGTGCACCCGCATGAAGCTGGGAAAACCCGAGCCACGTGACAATGTTTACTTTAGCTTGTAGCGAAGCTGTCGGGACGCCTGGAGACGCCCGTGCGGTTGGAAATGTATTTTTGTATTCACCAATAAACTTCTAAAAAAGTGCCAACCGCAGGTTAGTAGCTGTTGCTTTTCTGTGTTGACAGCAAATCTATAATTTGGAGTGTAGATTGGATATTTTAGCTCTGCCACGCTGGGAGCTCAGTCCAAACGGCCGAGATTTTATTAAGAAATTTAACTATTTATTCTCGTCCCGGAAATCTGTACAACGCAATTGTATCTAGAACCTACTACAAAAGGTTTTCTCTATCTTTGAAAGTATATCTTAAATTCGGCGTTAGTCCAAAACCAGGTAAATTATTCTTTCTATGCGATCTTTGAAAACTTTCATGTAGATATCCTCTCACTTCCTGGTAGTTTTCGGCAAGGTTAGCCAGCTATTCTGGCGAATTTCTAAAACTGGACTTCTATGGGTTTTTTGTTTTTAAAAAAATGGCAAACTGAAAACGCATAATCTGCATTTACTGAAACGTTTGGGATCCGTGTTACAAGATATTAATTTAAGTAAGACACACTGTGCAGTTGTGGTACGACTGAGTTTTGAGGTATTGACATTAAATAGTATCGAAACAAACGTAGCAAAGTTAGCTAACGTTAGCAGAGGCGCGAGGAGTTTCACCGTTTTAGTGAAAACGGCCTGAGCTAATGCTAGCGCTAGGCGTCGGCTAATCACTTTTCTTTGACGAATTTACTCAAGAGATTTTACAGTTTTACTTGAAAATGCACTGATATGAACCAAACACGGGCTGTTTTTGTAGTTTACTACAGATACAATCTCACTTTCATTTTCGGCTATGGACGTGTGGTTGTAAAGAAGTATTTTGTTATATTAGATTATGATTGCATTTTTAACCTTTTGCTATTTAAATATATTGCTAACATACTAAAAATAATTAAAACACTCTTTAAATGATAGAAATGGGCCTCATTAAACATAGTGTTTGTAAAACTAATAAATGTGAAGTGTATAACATAACCACCATAACTTTTTAGTGCATTTCTCTCACTAATTCACATTATGAGATTGAGAGAGTGAAGCTCAATTACTTTTAGGTGCTTTTTGGATGCTAATCTAAGTGCTCTCAATTAAGTTGAAATAATTACCACATCAAAGTTGCACATTTTGGCCTGTTATTGTTATTGTGTCAGTTCTAAGAACTTTGATATATTCTCAGTTAGTGTTTCTTGACTCTGTGTAAGGACGATAATGCTTTTGGTCTGGCCTCAAGTTTTTAAAGGCATTTGGATCCGTCTTTCCTTGTGATCTAAGGGTTTTACAGACTTTTGTAGAAACAATTTATTTGTATTTACCTTTATATTGGCTTACTTTCTTTACTGTTTCTAATGCGTTTGCCCTTGAAAACCTGCATCTTATTTAAAATTGTGCGCCACGTTGTAACAGTAATATTTAATGATTCTGATCCTGTTTGACGGGTTTCTGGTTACTTAATCGATGTCTTCTGTTTTGAGTTGGAATGGAGTCTTCTGACTGGATAATTTAATTATTAAATGTAGCTTAAGGTTAAGTGTTTTGTGTAAAGATTAAGTAGTGAATAAGACACAGGGGCTCTTTGTTTAATCATTTTCTGCTTCGCTTCCTTCTGAACCTTCTGTCATACGTTAAGAACTTCGATCCTTCCTCACACAGTTCATTCTAACTCGCTTTTGTCTGTGCCTCTTCGTGGACTTCCAGGGGAGATGAGCAGCTCGCTGCAGGGCGCCAGGCTTCTGGTGAGGAGTTACGGGGACACTTTAGAGCAGCAGATCGTGGGACGGGGGTCCAGCCTGGCCTGCCGGGACGAGGAGCTGTGGCTGCGGGTGCAGGGATGGCTGAGGGACGGAGACGCCCAGGAGACCCACTGTCTGGGCCTGGATCCGCTCGTAGTCATGGAGGAGTCGCTGAAATCCGCCTGCAGCAGAATCAAGGTCAGAGGGCAGCTTCAGGGCCTGGCCAAAGCTTTTGAGGTCCTGGAGCAGGCGGCCCTGAACCTGTACCTGGGCCCCTGGAGGAAGGAGTACAGAGTGATCAAGGTTGGTGTAGAGGCAGGGATGTGTTTAGCACTTGTCACAAGAGAGACTGAGTGTGTCCGGATATGTGTGTGTGTGTCTGTGGCTGGGTTTTGGATGATTGCCTGATAAATATCGCTTTTGTCTGCTTATGGATCTTGACTAATCTGGTTTCTTAAATGATGAATCCCGCTGTTGGATTTCTGCGTCCAGTTCCATTTTTAACTCTCTCTCTCTGTGCTGTTCCTTTTGTTTTACAGATGTACTCTGGGACGTTCACGCACTGCATCGCGCCCGTGCTGTCGGCGTCCCAGGTCCACCAGCTCTTCGGGCTGTTGGGGTACCAGCTCAGCCCGTCCTGTCCGGAGCAGCTCTGTCTCCAGCCTCCCAGAGGCAGCTCCGCCTCTCTGGATGACCTCCTGCACTTGTCTTGTGCCTTCTTTGTAGCCCGCTGTGAGTGTCACCTCCTTCTGAGCGCCCTGGGGAAGCATGTCGGTGACACCCAGTGGGAGCTGAGTGTAGTCAGGGAGAGGCTGAGAGGAAGCAGCCTGCAGGTAATCTGCTCCTGATGGTTCTGATCTGATGCTCACGGACTTGTTGAAGCAATGCCAGGCCACTGTAGTCAAGCCTTGAAGGCAAACGTGGTCAAAATAATTCTGTTGGCACATTAGGAAATATTAACTTATGAATATTTCTTTGATGGAGTCAATCTACCAAATAAAATTGATATTTTATATTTATTTAGGCCTAAATTTCCATTAAAACACATCTTTCTGCTATTTTCCTGCTGTGCTTGAACACGTCAGTCATGCAGAAGAATAAAGTTTACAGCAGAATTTCTTTTTTTGTGCTCATGTCCAGTCTGTTTAACACATTTCAGTCTGCACCATGAAAGGATTTCCAAGTTCCGGTCCCAGGTAATGCGTAAAGAGCCCTGTCTGTTCCTCCCTCCCCGACAGGCGGCCCTGGACAACACCAGGAAAACGCTGGAGGTCAGCCAACCGCCCACGGAGCTGAACGACGGGGAGGAGGATCTGTACTTAGACGAGCAGGTCAACGGGGGGCAGAAAGAAGCCGTTGCCAGCGACGACGAGAGCCCCGGCCCCTCGAGCAAAGCGGCCAAGAGCGGCGCCTCACCCCTCCCGGTCCACAAACGCACCAACGGAGCGGCCTACGCGTCGCCCCCAAAGGAGCCCGACTCCACCCGCGGCTCCTCGGCCAGTAAGAGGCAGGACACGCCGCCCCCCCGCGAGTGGCCCGACAGGGGCGAGCAGCCGCAGGTCACGGCGGCGGGGAAGGCGGAGCCTAAAGACGGCCCCTTCTGCAGCTGCCCCCAGTCCTCCAACCTCCTGATGCGGCGCTGCCTCGACTGCGACGCCCCGCACGACCTCAACTGTGCCTCCTTCTACGTGTGCGTGGCAAAGGGCCACCGGGTGTCCATCGCCGACGGCCCGCAGGAGGCGGGGTCACCCCCACCGGGGTCGCCGTCGCCCGAGGGCGTCCCGGACGATCAGACGGCGCCCGCCTCCCTCCGTCCAATCAGCTTCCACCGGTGCTGCGACCTCACCCGGCCGGACCCGCAGGTGCTGTGCTACACCTGCAGGGCCTTCCACTCGGGCTCCTGCCGGGAGGGCAGGCCCTGCCAGCTGAGGCACCGCAGCAGAGAGCTGGGCGTGTGCTCCTGCGGGAAGCTGTGCTCCAGGAAGCCGCTGGTCCTCTGCAGGTACTGCGGGAACGAGCTCTGTAGCAACTGCTGGTACCGGAACCCCGTCACGTGCAGCTGTGGCCAAACGTTCGACCAGTCCACATCCGTGTAATTGGTCGTTTTTCGAGGTTTTGCACTACTAAGGCACATTTAATAGATCACTGTGCCTTAAATCTGTGAACTGGAAACAGTTTTTTTGTTTTATTGTTGTTGTTTTGTATGGACAGATTCAAATGTTGCCTTGTCTGAGATGCAGTATTATGTCCAATTTTTTTCTTTCATTCTCACTAGTAGTTGTTTCCTACGCTCACAATGATTAGCCTGTCTAAAAGGGTGTGTAGCCAATATCACACTTTGTTCACCTGTAACTTGATGTGAAGCAGAGCGGAGTTTGTTTTTTTGTGTTTGTCATTTGCACATTGGAATAAAAAGGGTCACTTCACAGTTTGGTTAAAGCGTCTTTTTTTTATGCCTGAGCTTTGTCAGGTTAAAGCGAGAAAAAAAAAAGAAGCTATTTTAAAACACTTGAGCGGGAGTTTTAAATATGTAATAAAAAGGTTACTTGTCCTGTAAAGCATTCACAGCTAAATGTGAGAAAAAAGCCTTGAATGTACTCTTCAGACCTGAGCCATTGGCTTCCCTCAGATCAAAATCAAGATGTAAAATGTCCAAGAGAAAAGGGACTGACAGACCATGTGAGTGGGTTGCAGTGATAGTTTAAGGGTTGAATATCATAACACGTTCCATCAGTTCTAAAAAGTATGCACAAGATCAGGACTCGGCCGCCATATTTGACCAGTGTTTCTGGTTCATGCCTCCACATGCCTGAGGCGTGTTGAGGCCGCAAACTCGACACGTTTACAAGAAAAAACGTCAAAATGTTTATTCAACCCAGCGAAGCCACAGATGTCCTGAAATAAAACGCACAACCACTGAAAGTCACTTATTTTACAGTCGGGGCCGACGGGGTTTTCTATTCATTGTGTGCCTGCCAGTTGATATTGACAAAAGTCTTGCTGTCCATTCGGTCAATGTAGAGGACCCCGTCCAGGTGGTCCATCTCGTGCTGTAGGACCCGAGCCGACCAGCCGTTGGCCTGCCACGTGACGGCTTCCCCTTTTTCATTCAGACCTGGATGAGCCGAAAGGGGGATAAATTATACAGCAGTTACCTTTTACTGTATCCCACAAAGCTCCTTTCCCATCACACAGACACCTCTCACTCCTTTTGCAGATAAATTAAAATGTTGAGGGTTTAACTGCCAACAAGCTCCGTTTTTATGACCAGGAAGCAGCTGTAAACATCCATACCTGACACTTCCACAGACAGGTAGCGTGGAACCGTGGCAGAGAAGCCGGAGATGCTCTCACAGGCCTCCTGGAAGAGCACCGTCCGCCCATCCAACACCCTCAGCTGGGGGTTCACAAAAACCCTCAGGGGCTGCGCCGAGAGGCCGCGCAGCTCTCTGGCTGCTGGGGAACTCTCCTGCAACATCCTGTCTGGATATTCCAAGGCCAGAATCCGAAGCGGTACCCCAATCTGGGGCGCGCTCAGTCCCACGCACTCCAGCTTCCGCATCACTTTGACCATCGTGCGGATGACCTTTTGAACCTCTGGGCCCGTTACGGCTGCGGGGTCGACCGCAGCCGCGTGCGAGCGCAGGACGGGATCGCCCACCTGGCAAACGTGGCTGTACGGAGGACAGGGGGGGGAAATAATCTTACGCTTAACAAACTGAAGATAGGAGCGGACTTTTGCATTGCTGGACGATGACCGACAGCCAGTTGAGATGTGCGGAGGGCGAGTGGAGGCTATTGCTGCCAGGTTCAGGGTTCGGGGGTGAAAAGACGAGCATGCACGGAGTCTGAAACCTATCCAGGAAAGCTGGAGCAAAGACACAGAGGACTTTGTTGTCATGGTGGAGCTGAAGCTGCAATGAGGCTGTAAATAAGAGAGAAAAGCATTATTCCATTAAAACAAATCCCTAAAATTTAAAATAAGCTTTAAAAATAAACTATATATCATTTATCTGAACCCCAAAAAATATCTATCCAAAGATGCATTTAGTGAAAAGTGCAAAACTGTGAAACCACCTGTTGGGATGAACCTCTGACAAAACCCACCCGCCTGGGTTGTCGTTTACAACAAAACAAGCACCCCTTTCACCAGACTCCTCGAACACTATGCTAGAAATGAGCATGGCAGTGTAGTAGCTTTTAGGTGTTGAAAATAAAACTGACGTTATCATTTGCACACTGAAAAATACGACAAATCTCTGTTGACTTACCGTAACGTGCGCTCTCCCGCCCAAAGAGAAAAAAATCACATATTTAAGAAACCGAGGTCAAGAGAATAACTGTTCATAGCGCTGTCAAATCACTTCCTGGTTGATGATGTTACGTAAAATATGAGCGACGCGGTCGACTTCATAACAAACGTCGTCATGGTTAAACAACGAGTTTAAAAAAAACCAAATAAGTTAACCCACACTAACCTGTTAATGATTTTTTTTATCTTCAAAATACTGATATAAAATCGCATACTATATATTAATAACAGATCACACAAGACTACGGGTGCCCCGTGTGAACGAGACCATTTTTATTTTGACAACATCCATCGCCCATTGAACGGAAGTAGTTTTCGAACGGTTTTGAATGGACTTGTCTCTGGGGAAATTTAACGGTCGACTGCCCCAACTTGCCGGTACATGTCCAGCTGCAGGGTCAGGGTGATGGTATCAGCGGGGTGGGGCTATAAAGAGGACCACCGGGCTGGCCGGTTTCCTGCATCCAGATAGCTGATCACCGCAGCGGCACAGACCAGCGGATGGGCGGAGGAGAGCTGCGGAGCCCCACAAAGTTACCGGTGTGGATCATTGAGCATATTTGGGCACACAAGATGATGGATATACAGGAAGGTTCGTTTTAAATTCAGAAGCTGGGATAACCTTATTCAGACTAATGCATAGATCGTTGCTTCAAATGCTTAAAAGCTGCAGTAATCTCGAAATGAGACAGCTCGGTGTCATGTCAGCTTTGTTGTCTCCTGTCACAGTTGTTGACCTCTCCAGCTGGCCGGATGTGGATTCCCAACCCCTGAGCCTGGAAGACTCGTGGAGGCTGCGTGTGTCCTCTGCCCAGACATATGCCATCGTGAAGACCAGGGACATTACGAGCTTTGAGAGAGTGATTGACTTTCTAGAATCCACTTTCAGACTTCTTCCCACACTGGTGCCTGCCATCAAACACATGAAGATCATGTTTGGCCTCAAAACCATGGTAGAATTGATTAAATCTGACAAGCTCACGCCAAAGATTACTTACTGGTTTGTTCTTCTTCCGTTGTTCATCATGAGTTTTCCTGTGGTTTTCTCACTCTTTGCAGGTCATTATGTGGATGCTGAAGGAGGAGAAAGGAATGGTTGAAACTGTGTCTAAAATTGGAGAGTTCTTCCCGAACAAACTACCTCAATACCAAGATCAGTGTGTAAGTATCAGAAACAGGTGTGATCAGTATTCATAGATATGTTTAGTTTAGTTTGCTCTAACTCAACACAGTAACATCTACAGTTCCACGCTGGTGAAACGACCTCACAACTATAACCTGTTAGACGTGTTATAGTTGTCTTACGGGGTCTTTGTGAGCCTTTGAAACTAACTATGCTGTAATGGCCAAAGAAATGTCAGAGTACCAGAGATGCTTGGTTTGTTATGTGTTCTGATTTTGTTTTTCTTTAACAGAGCCAACGTGAAATGTTTCTTATGAGGAAGAACCATGTGGACTTTAAGAGTTTGGCACAAAGTCTCGCTATAGACAAGGCCAGACTTAAAGATTACATGAAGGTTAGTGGAATGCTTGTTTAATCCTTGTGTGTGATATATATATATACACATATGTAACACTATCAGCATTATTTACCTCTCTAACTCTGATATTTACCTTTCTATCTCTGAGTGCATGGCTTTTTGTGCCCAGCAGGTTGCACCACTGTTCCACATTCAGCTGTAAATAGTTGCGTGTTGGGAAGTTGGGAAATATCTGCTTTACAGTATGATGCCTGTGTAGCCTCAAATCCTAACAACTGAGGTACAGATAGCCAATAAGGATCCGTTTTATTGTGATAAAATCATAATTCAATCCAGTCATATAGTCATCACATTGCAAATGAGTTTTTTCATGCAGCTCCAATTTAAAAAGAATAGTTTGGCTATGAAAACCAACAGATTGTTCTTTGATCCAACCTTGTGTCCATTGATGTCAGAATCAGGTGGAGCAGCAGTTTGGGGACCGATACGCCCAGAAGGTAGAAGACAGGCTGCTGGACTACCTGCAGGAGCTGGAAGCTGCCTTACCGGGAGATACCTACATTGACAAGGTGTTTAGCATGGATGTTTCTGCCTTCGTTAGAGGTTGTTTTCTCTTATCTGACTGAACGTCTACAAATGTGTGGCCCAGATCCTGCACAAACACAGTCCAGCGACCGAGGAGGAGAAGCTGCTTTTGGAGGTGATCGCCTCGGACTCCACGACCATCGCAGCCACTCTGAGGAAACTGCTCCACTGTGGTGAGAGGCCGAGCACATAAAGGACAGATAGATATGCTGTGGACGTGACCTGTGTTCAAACAAGCTTCTCTGTATTGATCTATTTAGGGATAAATGACACGTTGAATACGTGTGCTAATGGGATTCCTGTATGTTCTTTAGATGCAGCTACTTGCCGTCCAGCCAGGATTCCTCAGTCACCACAGAGTGGAAAAAAGGCGGCGGAAATCTCTCCCCTCTTCAACCCGTTTCTGACGGCTCTTCTCAAACCAGGAGAAGGTGAAAGTGCTCCAGAGCCTCGGCCAACAACCAGCCCCCTTTTGTTGGGGAGTGACGACTCAGACTTTGAAGACCATCAGCAGCCAGAAGAGGCGGTGAGGGGGGAGCGGGAGGAAAGTGGTGACAAACAAGAGGAACATGCCGGTCAGAGAAGCTACAGACGTGCACAGAAAGCCGCCCCCTGCCCTCAGTTCTGCTCCAAACACCAGCGGTGGGTGAAGAGCATCCTGTGGGAATGTCCGGACGACTGCTCTGAGGAGCTGCTGCTTCACACCAACCTGTCCTCCTCCCCCCTCCTGTTCCCGTCCTCCTCATCCACCTCTTCGTCACAGGACCTCACCCCCTCTGACCTGGTCCCCCTGCCCCCAGGCCAGCCGCCCTCACAGGCCTCCGGCAGCCTCCAGGCGGCGGCCGAGGCGGGTGGATCCGGAAACCCCGGGGACGACCGGCGCCTGTCGCCCGTGGTCCGACTGGTGGACGTCGCCTCCCGCTGGAAGCTCCACCGGTCGTCCTCGGGCGGCTTTACCCCGCCGGCCGGGAAACGGGCACGCTCCGGTTCCGCTCCGCGCAGCCGCTCCTCAGGAAACGCAGAACCCACCTTCAACCCCTCAGAAACTCCCCCAGACGCGGCTCCTTCCCCTCCGGACGCCGCCCCGCCAGCCGGCCGCCGGCCCCCGTCTCGCCAGGCCTTCTCCAGACTCTCACTGAGGTCCAGAGGAGCTCGCCAAACTGCCAGAAATGCACAGGCTGCGACGAGGAAAGCCTCAGATGAGCGGCCTGTGAAGAAGCAGGGAGCCTTTACAACGGGCCGCACGCCTCTGGTCAGTCGTATCCACGTGTCCGACGCTCCTGAACGCTCCGCCGCTGCCTCCCAGTCAGGCTGTAACGGGCTCCAGCCCTTTGTGAGTCTCAGTAGGATGAGCATAGCCAGCTGCCTACGGGCCACCGGCGGCAGGGCCCGGCCCGGGCCGGCGGAGCCCGGCCGGCCGGAGACGGAGGCCAGCTCAGACTCCTCCTTTGACATGAACACTCTTTTCTCCAGCTACTCGTCCGGCGGCGACAGCGAGGACTCCCTACACGGCGACCCCACCTACAGGCCTAACTTAAAGAAAAGCCTCGTCCTAGAGTACGAAAGCGCAAGGTTACCCCAGTGAATCCCACCAAGTCTTCAGAAGTCAGAAAACGAACGAGGAACCAATCAGGTTTCAAGCTTTTGACCAAGATGAAGTATTTTAGCAGAAATGAACCTGATAAAGACACAATTATATCGTTTTTTTAAGAAGTCCTAGCCGACCGGATCCTGGCGGCCCCTCTCACTCTGCTAAGGGGGGAGCAATTTTTGAGAGAAGACACAAAAGAGACGACCGTGGTTGATGAAGAAAAAACCATGAGCACTGATTGTATGTTTACATTGTTGTTGTCGGGTTGATAATGATGCTTTTATTCATTTACAGACTGGTTCAGTGAAATTTTCTTAATTTATTGCCTCAGGATTCAGTAGAAGTATGAGCTGTAGAATTAGACGATGGTTCCAGATTACAGAGAAAAGAAAAAATTACATAAAGTCAGTAGTGCCAGAACTAGAAGGGATCTTAGTCATTTAAGTAATGGTTCTTCTGGAAGAATAATAGTGACTCAACAAAAAAGAGATGGCGCTTGATTTGAAATGTTCTCAACAGGAAAAGTGTTTTATAATGATCTCTGCCCCCCTCCAGACCCAGTCCGGCAGCACAGGGCAGAATGGTGCTCATGGGAACATGGATACCAGTCAAAAACAAAACAAAACAGTTTTTTTTTAACGAGCAACACATGAAGGAAGACATTTTGAAGGATTTTGGTTTTATGTCTGTTACCTGAGGTCATGTTTACAGGTGAAATGATGTGGAGTTTGTGGTGCCAGTTACAGGAACGTAGCTTTTTATGTAGCAGAAGCTTATCGGGACGTTTGAGTGTTTAGTCAGATTTGTATCAGCTTTCGTCATTTCGCAGGTGGTTTGATTCGATCTGTTGTTGATGGAAGGGAGGGATGTCCCCGAAGCCCAAAAGCTGGATTCTGAATGTGGGTTTATTATTTATTATTATTATTATGTCGACGAATGAGAATAAAATACCTGTGTGCTGATCCTGAATGAGGCTGTCCTTCCAACACAATCCTCACATTCACTCTTCATACGTGTGTGTAAAAGGTCACATTCTCATAACAAGTGCAGATGCAAGATTCAGTTAAGTTTGTCGACACCTGACAAATCCATTGTTTCGATCTCAGGTGACTCCGGGACGTCGCTGCTGGTCTGATGCAAAAACTGTTCTGATAAAAACCCGAACCAGTTAGCCTTTAAACACATAAACTGACCTGTGTTATATTTTTTGCACACCTGGTGCCGCTATCAAGGGCGATCAAGGATCAAAATCTATCAAGGTTTCGTCAAAACACACATTGTTGCTTTAAAGACACAAATCACCATTAAATTTGTCACCGTCTGCAACATTTTTCCAGAGATGTGGAATAAATTAAATTTAAACAAACAACAAGTGTAACAAAGTTCAGAATTGATTTTGATTTTTTCTGACAAACTGCCTGTTTCCTGTTCCTGTGGTGTCACCCCTGTGCATGGGGTTAGCAGGTAAAACACTGATGAACACAGAAGGACCAAAGCTTTTTTTTCAGACTTTTTTTCTTTGAAAAGTTCCATCAAAGCTCAAAAAGCAGCATGTTGACCAAAGTTTTAAGAATAGACCTTGTGTTTAATAAGAGGATAATAGAGGGAACATATATATGCATATAAATCATGTAAATACACACACACATATATATAGAAGGGAAGTGCTTTGTGTGCACTGTGTAAATCAGTAGCTTGGAGGGCTCGCCCTCATCTGTGTCCCCCTCAGTGACGTCTCACTGCGTCGGCAGGACGCTCACATACGTACTCCAGACAGGCACAGAAAAAAATCGGAGTGGAAAATTACCCAGAATGGGCTCTGACCTCCACAGCTCGTTAGCCCACCTATTCTCTGTTTGCAAAAGTATTTGCACAGTAAATTTGGAGCCAGTGGGTTCAGCCTCGGAGGTGAGGGTGAGGATAGGACGCCAGTCTCTGGCTTCTGACCGCCGTCCACCATCCGCAGTAACGGTAGAAGGGAGAAGCTTTGGGCTGTAGTCTACACAGGGTCAGTGGAGGAACTGGGGATATGAGCTCCAGAGGCTCTGTTTATTATTTTTCTTCTATTGATTTGGATTGTGTGACGTATCACACTCAGAAAGGCTCATGTTTGAGCAAACATCCAGTGTCCTAATATGCCCGATATTGATCTTGATCAAACAGATTGCTAAATATGTTGATTGTGGATTTTCTTCTTTTTTTTTAATCTAACTTGTTTGTGGAAAGATTGTCCTTTTCTGGAAAGGTGCAAGGTGCAATTTCTATGGTGGAACTCAAAGTTCCACAAAGCAAACTATGGAGGGTAAATAATTTCATTACTTGCCATTAAATGGAAAAATACACTCTAAAACTATATTTTTCTGCAGCTTTTCCCACCTGAAAAATCTCTGTTTGATACCATATTCCTTTTCCAACTTTACAGGACCTTGATTATTGACTGAAACTGAAGAAAACAAATCAAACTACGCAGAAATGACTCTGACCAGTAGATTAGTGTAGGGCTTTTTTGATAAAATATTTCACATATATTCAGATTTTCAGTTTTAAAATATCTTTGTTAACCTCGGTCATATAATATAGACATGTTAGTTGTAAGACAAGGGTCTCACAAGTTGCGCAATATTAACTAATGGAGGCAAACTAGAAACTACAGCATGAAGCTGTTAATATCTCCATAACATGATGCTTTTTTTTAGCCTGTTAAGTCTTGCTGTTTCATCTCTTTATATCAATCATTAAATTGTGCCCAAATGCAGCTTTAGGCTGATTTTCAGTGGAAAGTTCATATTTATTTAATCTCTGGATGATTACGTTGGCTGTTTACTGGATTTTTATCAGTATTACATAACAAAGACATCGTGAGCTTTCACGTTATTGCAATAAGGCCAAAGTTTAGAGGAAAAAAAGGACTTACTCTAACTGACTGAAGGACATTTTCTTCGCAAATGGAGATTTTTCCTGAAATTTCTATTACCATTCATCATATTTTAATCAATTGAGTCAAAACAAAGGACTTTGGGTACCAGTCCAAGCCCGGTTCTACTAAATCAGCAATAAACTCTGCACTATGAATAAAAAGTTACATTCAGAACCATAAAAAGTGAAATAATGAAAGTCAGAACAAACCAAAGAGAGCATCCAAAGATATTTTCCCAGTTTGCCTGATCCATCTATCCATCGATTCAAACCTGTCAATTTCTAAAATACTTTTAAAATTTTTTGATGTTTCAATACTTTTCTTTAATCCTGTCCTCAAAAGGTATAAAATTGCATACTTTAATTCAAATTTAATTTTCAACTTTCTTCTATCCGGGAGCAGAAACCCTGAAAACTGTAACTTTATGCTCTGAACATGTTATGAAACTGAAGCGGGCTCCCCTCGATGGACCAAACAATGACTCAGCAGTTTTATTTGAAAGCTGACCACAAACTTGAAGGCTACACAAGCAGACGTATGTTTCCTACTTACAACATCCACAAGAAGTTGGATTTTTTCTGGTTTATATATTGGTAATTGAGGAATAAAGAAGAAAGGTGTCTGGATTAGACATTAAACATTAAATCAGGGATGTCATAAGAGAGGTTTGACAAATTTCATGTTGTAATGATGACAAATTAGTATTATTTTTTTAATTTTAGGATGTTTCTTTCAACTGGAAAAGTCTAGATGTGTGTTTGGACTTACGAAGATCACCAGGGTTGTACTTAAACTTATTTGTTGTTGGCAGAAGCCCATTATAAAAATATCTGCCTTGTGTTTTAATAGTTGTGTTTTTCTGGAATGAAAATGAAAACCGTCGCGGCTTTTCATTGTTTGTTTTTTCTCTTCTCCCCTCGGCATTCACAAAGGATTCCTTTAGTTCATGCTGTTAGTGTTTCTTGGAGGCTGTAAAAAAAAAAGCCAAAAGTTGGGAGGAAAACAGCTTGACTGATAGGCCGTTACATAACAAGTCATTTTCTACATATGGTGTGTTTAAATTTAATGGGTCTGGCCGGACTTTTTCTTAACCCTTCACTGTGAACAGCCTGCTCACTGAAGCTGTAGAAAACCCTGCAGGATCTCCACCGTGACCCGAATTCTTTCAGCGTCATGGACACTTTTGGCCTGAACAATCTGTCCTGACTTCTTTATTTAACACCACATGACCCGGAAGTCTGCACAGCCGAACACTGAAGCACATGAAATCATAACATGTTTGTCAGGTATCAGTCTTTCTATGTCATAGCCACCATGAATCAGTAACTCTCTATTTGGGGCCACTGAGAGGCAAATGACTCGCAGTGACTTTGAGCAGTTTAAGTCATCTCAGGTTGGTTCTCTGTACAAATATACCGGTTAAAAAAAGGACGCTTCCACCCAGTCAGATATATTTGAGCTGTCAACAACAGGAAGCAGTGTGTTAAATAACTCCACACCCATCCAATGGCATTCATTATTCAAACAATAAAAACATGTTGTTTCACAGCCATTCGGAGGAAATAATTTAGTCCTAACATAAATATTACTAAAGTATAGTTTACCAGATCACATCATTACTACCAATTAAGCGAAACCTTAACCCCATATTTTATAATCGTTCAAATGTGAATGTGCAGCAGAAAACATCAGGAAACAACAGATGAAAACACTGAAACATCAGGTTGTCTCTGACTTTTCTTTTAAACATGTTCTTGTCTCAAACATTCAGCTTAGACCCAACAGGACCCTGAAATCAAGACCACTGATCCGTCATCCATACGTATTTTTTCGCAGGTTTGCATTCCCCAGACTTTTGATTTGAAGCCACTGACCGAAAACACAGGTGCTCGGGTTTCGAATGTCTCCAGCTGTGTCACACGCCGCTCAACATCTGGGGGTCGTGTCGCCCAGCTGCAGTCTGTGGACGGGTTAGACTTTATCAGCCCCCAAGGACCCCATCAATGTGGGGATTCAGTCCGTGAGGGAGTCGTAAATACCAGTGGCGGACCGTGCTTTTCACACCTAGGCCTTCAGTAGTGCTCCGTCTGAATTAATTCACCCCTCAATAACTATTTTACGGTTATAGAAATCATCTTATTATGTAGAAATACAGTTTAAAGACCAGGGGTGCACAAAGCAACAGTTTAATCAACTTTCATTTTCGATTAGGAGCCCTGCAGAACGGATTGTGAAGGCCTCCAGGCAGGTCTTTCACTTTGACCCTGCCTAGCAACAAATGATGGCTGAAATGTGATTGGTTAAATGCTTTACCATGAAAATACATGTCTGGAAGCAGCATGTGAAAAAGCTATGAAAGGAAGCAGACAGATCATTTGGAAATATTTAATAAGTATCCATGGACCAAATAGAATTAACATCAGTCTGTGATTCAGATATTTTCTTAGACCAGCAGAGAAGGTCTTGCAGGCCCTGAGGGCCCACCAATGGTAAATACATTTAATTCCACTTCGTGAAGCTGCGAGAGACAACATTTGATATGTTTGATGTTTTTTATATTTATTTTGATATATATTTTTATGTAAATATATATTTTTTGTAAGAGACAAGAGAATATGAAAATTTTAGAATGTGTATCTGTGTCCAAAATATTTAGGTTAGATCTCCAGATTCCTCGTTGCCGAGGAAAATCCTGAAAAGTGCAGGAGTTGAGGGTCTCCAGGGGTAGTAATTGAGGAGGGAGGGACTCATGTTATATAATATTGCTGAGAGGAGATGCGTTTCAGGGTATATCCAGAAGGTGTCCAGAATTAGAATTATCTACATCATTTCTGACTCTCATATGTTGTTGTTTTTTCATGACAAAGTTTTCCACCCTACGACCCAGAAAACTAACAAACAAAGCAGGGACGCTGTGTGATGGTTCTGGTTCTCTTGTCCTGTTAGTTTAGGCAAACTTTACTTTGGTTCTGGTGCGATGCGCGTGACGCACACGGCGCCTAACCAAGTGTCCTGTCACGTGCGTGAGACCCATCGCTAGACTAGACCTAAAGTGCCGTTCTGGTCGATAATAGGCGCAGTTGAAGTTAAAGGAGGTATGGTTCTGATTAGTGATGTAAGAGAGGTGCGATGGCACAACCCTCAGCCTCCACCAATGAGAGCGAGCCGCTCACAACACCCATTTTCGGGGGTCTCGCTATAAATTACTTCCAAAAACACATCATGTATTCCATTTTACGCATTTCGAGTGGTTCACCTGCGCCGCATTTCTGGGGACTTTCCTTTTTGTTATTTAATGTGGTGAGTGAATTTATTAAGGTCTCTTTGTTTCAATTAAACATTTAGACATTTAGAAAAATGTTTTGGTACATATGTGAAGGTTTATTTAGTTGATCTTTCTTATTAAGTATATATGTAAATGTAAGGATGTGCATTATCTTCCACCGTCCATTTTGATAATAATAATAATAATAATAATAATTGCATATTTCAGTGTTTAGAAAATGCGGTCGCTTTAATAGTTTGTGTGTGTGTGTGTGTGTGTGTGTGTGTGTGTGTGTGTGTGTGTGT